ATTCAGAATGTCAGTGGCAGGTGAATAATGTGAGTATTTGTATATTAATATCATATTGTATTAATGTTCCTTTCATTTAAGTATGCAATTCATGTGAAAATCATAAACTGTTGCTTCATGGCTAGAATAAATCTAATCAGTGCTGTAGGCATCTAATGCCATCAGTGTTTTAATTCAATATGTCAGTAAAACAAATGTGTTTCTTTTCATTTCCAGTTCCTTTATGCTTTACCAATTCAGAATATTATATGATGCTGCAAAAATATGAAGCTGAGAGTAAACAAATTGCTAATTTTCATCCTGTTATAGGTTTTAGGACTAAATCCTTCAATTGTAGCTCCAGAGAGGATAAGGCCATACTTCTAATATAAATATATTTTAATATATATATCTTATATATAAATGTATATATATAATTTATATAAAAATATATTTTTAAAAGTGCTCTAGAATATGCTTTAAGGAAGTACTTATATAAGTAAATATAAAATAATATCATTGCTGGTTTGCATAGATATAATACTGAAATGCGTCTGCTTTGGCATCTTCTCTACTGTTCTGTAAGTTGCTGAAAGGTTTTAATTTTAGAGGAACAACGTCAGAGTGTCTAGAGGACCATTTGTAGAATCCCTTCTGTCCTCAGTTGGTCCTTAGTTTATCATTGTTAAAAATATTTACAGGAATTTGGAGATTCATCAATAACCTCTTCAAAAAAATATTTTAACCTAGAAACATATAAACTAACAAAAAATTGTATTATCAGTGATAACTTACTATACTGAAGATTTGCCTGACCAGTGTACTGATGGCACTTCATCCAGCTCACATTACATGTTAACAGGAACAAAGTTGTATTATCCATTGTAAGAATTTATTTAAATCTTGTATTGTTTTAGCACCTACTCTCCAAGTCTGATGTCACTGACTTGAAAGTTACCTTATTTACAGATTTCTGAAAGTATTCAATGTGTCTCTTCTGTTTTGGTGGAGTTCTCACTTCCATAAGTACACAGAACATGATAATACTAAAAGTTTACTGGCAAATAAAGATGTACTTGGTGTAAATCCTTCAGAATTAATCTTTTGGTGGAGCTAAGCAAATGCACTTAGTCTGTGTTTGCAGCATAGTTTTCAATTTAATATGTTTTTCTTGTCTGATATCAAAGCAATTTAATTCCCCTGATTATTTTTTATGAGGAAAACTTTTTTTTTTGTCTGAATTTTTCTGTTTGAGGTATTTATGAAACCACGGGTTTGTCTCCTGAACCTTTTGATAGTCTCAGATTTAATTTCCTTGAAGACGTGATCATCTAATAAAGCAACCTCTCTTCTTTAAAAAGCATATATACATCAAGAAGTTTCTGAATTTTTATTACATAGAAACACAGACCGGTTTGGGTTGGAAGGGACTTCAAAGATCATCCAGTTCCAACCCCCTGCCATGGGCAGGGACACCTTCCACTATCCCGGGTTACTCCAAGCCCCGTCCAACCTGGCCTTGAACACTTCCAGGGATGGGGCAGCCACAGCTTCTCTGGGCCAGTGCCTCACCACACTCTGATTAAAAGCTTTTTTAATCCTTAATTGGATACTGGATATTTGATTAGAGACAGTTTTCACAGCCTGATTCTGTTGTCAGGCTAGTTTAAAGTGTTGAGTTGTTTTTTTTCTTTTCAGTCAAAGTATTAATCATTGGCATTTCTGTAGAGATGTAGATTTCTTGAGTCTTTGAATCTTAGCTTCTTTATTTTCTTTTAAAGTTGTTCTCTTTGAAATAAAGTGTTTTATTGATTGTTTTGTTTCAGTTCTGCTCCACTGAGAACATATGTATATATGGCAAAGTTTTTTTGTAAAACTGCATACTTTAGTTATTTTCTTAAAACATTTTTCATCTGCATGCTAAATGTTTGCTCATCGCTAAATATGCCATAACCTTCCAGTATCTGTTTTCTAAAAATTTTGTTATTACCATTTTATAAATAGTAACATGGAATTGAACATTCTTCTGTCATGATTTACAGACCTTAACATGGAATTACAGAATGATGTGTCGGTCCAGTGTCAGAATGTGAAGCTGTACTTTCTAGTACCTGTGGAAAAATTGAGTTCTTCTCTTTAGTATAGAAATTAAAGTAAACCAGCACATCTGGTATTGAAGAGCACTTTCATCATTCTAGTTGTATTTTAATTCATCACATCTAGCTGTGGCAGGAACAACATCATTATCTTTTGTCAGCCTAAAACTCTACTGAAGCAATGTTATGTAATCAGTTTGCTCTCAAATTTCTTGACAGATTCAGACAAGAAACAAAGCTGAAGATGTTAGAAATTCAAGAGGTTACATGAGGGAATTTTCTTTTTTTTTTTTTCTGATAGACATCTTACAAATGAAGAGCATTAAATGCTTTCATGTTTTGTTCATTACAAATAAAGTAAAGAACTGGTCAGAAAATGTCAATACCTTTGTCATTTTTTAATAGAATTGCAGAAAGTTGGAAGGGACCCATGGGGACCATTGAGACCAACTTGTGATTCCACACAGGGAAATCTAATAGATAGTGAGTTGATATCTAAGAGCATTGGGTTTAGTTTAGAGAATTTTCTGTAGTTGCAAATTAAGGTTCAGCATATAATTTTAATGTAAATTAGTAGATTAAGTTAAAATTATATTCCTGACCCTTTATTTTAACAGTTATCAGACTTAATAAGCATATTTTAATTTCAGAGTTAGTGGAAGATTTGCAGGAAGTGGCCAAGAAGTTTATCAGAACCCATATCTAGGTGGTACAGACCTCTGCCCCTGGAAGTGATCCCTGTTCCCAGATCAGGGAGCATATGTGCAGTGCTTGGCCTTGTGCCTCTGGGATAATTTAGGCAGTCCAAATGTCCTCTGAATCCTGTGTTGTGTTCCTCTGGCTCTGAGAAATTGTCAGTACTTTCAGGATTTCTTCTGACTCACGCTACCAACAATTGTGTGTCTGTGTTAGTATTTGGTCCTAAGGCTGATATTTTGATGCTATGATGTCAAAGGTATTTTTTGTATGTTACAAAACTTGGTTTGGGCAAGTTAAGCTGTGTTTGAGGTGTGGAGATTTCAGAGGTTGGGAGGTCTCTGTAGGCAAAAGGAACAAAACCTGATGTGGTCTTGTTTACACTCCCCAAAGAGACTTGGTTTTGGTTTTTGGCTTTGGGTTTTTTGTTTTGTTTTGCAGAAAAAGTAACAAATTTTTACTGGAAGAGTACATGGGTTACATCTCAGAAGGAATTAGTTGTTTCATTCAGGAAGATTGCCCTGGGAAAAATAAATGCATGTGGTGTGGGTGCTCAGGGGTGGAAGACCGAAGAATCAAACAACTGGGTTTCAGTTCATAGCAGGGACAAACCCCTCCAGAACCTGCCTAAACCACAGTTAATAATGACCCTGCATGCAGGCATGTTCCAGTTGGCTTTAGAATACTTCAGTAGGTGTTTGCCCATCTCTGTCATGATATTTGAAAGAACTGAATATTTTTTCAGTTCTTGATTTCTAAAACCTTCACTATATTTCAATATGTTTTTAATACTTAAAACTAAAAATAAATTTATAAGGCAGATAAAGAATGTGTGTAACCCACTCATCTTTTTGAAAATCAGAATTAATATCAAAAGGGTCATTTTTGTAAACCTCTTCTAAAGGGGTTTTTGTAATTTTCAAGTTGCTTTCAATACCAGGTAAACTCTGTCTAATTTTGAATTACTTGTAAGTGAGCTGAAGATATCTTTTGTTTCTCCTGAATTCTATTTCATAAGTAGATAAACTATTTTTACACGTATTCACCTCCCTCTGAGGAATGTCTTCTTTTAAGACAGGTCACTGAGACTTCTCCCCAGCTATGTCACAAAATGTAGTCAGATCATCTCCAGGTGCTTTAGAAAGAGAAATACAGAAACCTGATACATAATTATTTGCCTCATGGTTTTGAGTTATTTGCCTCAAAGTTTTGATTTATTGTTTGCTGTTTCAGTGTGATAAAACTTATTCTGGGACTTTCTGTTCTGTCTGTATGAATTGCACAGTAAATATTACATCTTTCAGCAAGCTGAATGGAAATTGTAATAACCAGCATAATATAATCCTAATTATATTTCTAGATTTTTGCCTTCTGTAGCTCATTAATAAGCTGCATGAACCTTCTGGTCTAAAAATATTTGTTTCTAACAAGATAATAAGTGAAGTTATCAGCATACATTTCTGTAGTAATTATAAGATAATGGTAGGAAATAATTGCTCCTATTCCTCACAGTCTGTCATTTTTGTATATTGGGACCAGATAGAGTTTATCTTTTCTGGACATTAAATGTATGGTCTAGTTTCTTATTAATATTTTCTTTTCTTTCTAGCTCACAGTTTTTCATGTTGAATGAAAGAGCGTGGTATTGTGGCTTATTAAAATAATATATTGATGTTTAGACCTTCAGAGTTGGTATTTCTTCTGCACTTTTCAGGTGTTTAACAAAAGCTCACACAGTTAATAACAATGGGACACTTTGATCCCTATTAATGTAATGTGTATCAGTGTCAGAAAATACACTGAAAGATTGTGCTAAATAATAAAAGTAACTAGTGAAAACATCCCAAGACTTGGTTTAAATGATATTTGAAGATGTGACTTAATTATTGCTGTCTTGAATAAATACTTGTTATTTCTAATATATCATCTGGGGACACTGTACTAAAAATTTAATTTAGTGATTGTTAGAATGGACCAGTGTATTACAGGGTGGTTAACAGGTGGTCTTACTCTCTAGCTTTCTTTTTTTATTTAAATTTATGAAAAAAAATTAAGATTTTGATTCCAATAAAAAAAAATTATCAGCAGAAACCATAAAAGAATTGACAGACTCGGGCTGAAACAGCTGAACTCTGCGAGTCTGCAGGATCAACTCTGAGAAGAAAAATAAAAACAAACATCTTCTTAGCAGGTGTTTGATTTGCTCTGTCTGTAACCATCTTCTTCCAGATGTTGGGTCAGTGGAGGGACTTGCTTATCACAGAGCTTGGGACACCCTGTACTGGACCAGTTCTACCACATCCTCCATCACGAGACACACCGTTGACCAGAGGCGTCGAGGGGCTTTCAACCGGGAAGCTGTAATAACCATGTCAGAGGATGATCATCCACACGTGCTGGCTCTGGATGAATGCCAAAAGTATGTATTTCATCTTTCTTACCAGATTTTAATTTCTGGCACTTCTTTATTTCACAGTCAGCTAATGCTGTGAAATACTAATACCTACGAAGGTTAAGTAGATTTCTTCGTTTAGGAAAAAAATTGTTAATATATTTTATAAATATATTGCAGAATTAAGGTACAACATTTTGTATGTTTTCTTGTTTCAAATAGTCATTACATTTTCATGGAATGTTGAAAAGTTCAAACTACTTTTCTTAAAAGTGAGCTAAATGCAAATTAATGAGTGGTTGTTTGAGTGATTTCATCAGAAATCTTATTGCTTAAATTAAAAAAACAGTAATTTAAGTATTTACAGAAAGGAACCTGAGTTTCTTGTGTGCAAATTATGGGCCCACATGTTTATCTCAGAAACTAGTGTAGTATAAAAGTATATAACAAGAGATGAACATTTACAGTACTTAAGGACAATATCCTGCAAAGAAGTCTTAGTTCCCTTTTGGCCACTCTGAGCAAGGCTGTGTTTCTTAGTAAGGGAGTAGGAAAGTTTATATTTCTACTCCTGTTAATAAATTCTTAAAAATTTGAGGTACTTTAATCTTCTCTGTTAATGTGGAAAAAAGGCAACCAACCTTTTCTGCTTCTTGTAGCTGTCTCCCCTTTGGCGAGGCTGGGCTCCATTAATTCTGTATTAAACCCCATTTTAAAATTGGTAGCTGAATTTACAAGGTTGCATGAGTAGTCAAGGTTATTTCCATGTGTGATTTCATGTCCTGTTTATGCAAATTAAGAATTTATACTGTATTTTAAAATATGTTTACCTGGATATCATAAATAAACCACCTAAATACTGATGGAGATTGTAATAAGAAAATGAGCAGGTTCTGATCAGTCTGTGAATTACATCCACAGCCCATTCCATAACATTTGTCCACCATTGTTAATCACAAGAGGCTGAATGAGCCTCCTGTAAAGCACATTAATGTGACTTTTTTCCCAAAGTCAACCTTCTGCATCCCAGTCCTTTGGTCTGTATCACATTTCTAAAATGGGAAAAGCTACAGGTTAATTTCTCTGTTAGAAATTACAAATATACACATTGGCAGAATTAAGTTTATATCACTCCACAGCTTCTATCTCTCTGTGATGGTTTATTAGCATACAGACATGATCAGAATTGAACAGATCTGTAAGAGGAAAAAAAACTGTACTTGTATACAAATTAATGAACTAGGAAACTGCTGTAATTTATAGGATATTGGCTATTAGATTTTCTTATTCACCACTGATTATCACAATTACTCCTAGATGACATTCAAAATTGTCTGTGAAAGCATATGTGTTTTTTTTTTCTGTTGCTCATTTCATAGAGAACTAAATTATAAAATGTATCTTATGGTTTTATTTGTTATTTTGATTTTAATACAGCTTAATGTTTTGGACTAACTGGAATGAGCAACTCCCAAGCATCATGAGATCTACCCTCTCAGGCAAAAATGCACAGGTTATCATTAGTACAGATATTCTGACACCAAATGGACTGACCATTGATCACAGGGCAGAGAAACTTTACTTTTCAGATGGCAGCTTGGGAAAAATTGAGAGGTGTGAATATGATGGATCACAAAGATATGTAAGTAAAACAAAAATACTGACTATACTAATTTTAAATCTTTTTTTTTTTGCATTTTTTAGCACTTTAAAGTGAAAATGTTACAGAAACATTATTAGTTGCCTAAGTTTCTCCCAGTATTAGTTGTATATTACATTTAAGACTTAGAACTTTATTGAACTACAAATAATGCTCTATTTGTTGAGAATTTCTTTTCTGTAATGCTTGAGTGTTACTGGACAATTTTTTTTTCTTTTCTAACTGTACATTTTCCTTTACTCTTTCATCATAATACTTTTGGTCCTTGAGTGCCCTATTAGTTTGAGCTCAAGTAGACCTTTTACCAGGAAGATGCTGAAGGCAGTTTGTCTGTGCTTGAGATTCTGTTGCGTGTTTAGTATTACTCTTCTCATATTTAATGAAATCTTCCTTTCAGGGATTTTGTACCTCCCAAAGTTCAGGATAAAATGAATGAAGGATGTGTTCTGGCTTGTATTCCATTCCTAGACATAAAAGTTAGTGTACATCATCTCACTTTGATATCTATTAACTTTGAAAATGTCCTTCATATGCAGTATAAAAGCTTAAGAAATATTTTTGCATCCTAAATGACAATACTATGTTTTTCTGCAATCTTATCCAGAAGTCTAAACACACTTTGTTTAGACAAAATTTTCTTATCAGAACAAAATAAGAGAGCCAAGCTTGTAACAGCATGTAGTTTTGCATAATTTCCTTTTTCCTTTTGCTCTCATTTGTATAAATTAACCACAACTCACTAATGTTTTCAGAAGCAGTAAATATATCAGAAACTGGACAAACCAAAGCTAGAAGGATCCTAAATTTTAAAGTCTTTGTTTATATATCTACTGTGAAAATTGATTAACTTTCTTGGTTAACAGAAAGAAGGCAGATTGGGGGTTTTCTTTGGAATTTTGTTCTGCATTTTCATTTGGGAGATAAAAACAGGATGTTTTTCTTAAATTCTGCTTCCATTCAACAGTTCTACTCAAATATATCCAGTCTTCTCTGTTATTATTCCTGACCATTTTGAATAATTATGTATTTGGAAAGTCCCTCAGTTTTCTGTCTGCCACATAAAAGTAATTTTCAGATGGTGTCTTGAGGGACTTGTCACCATCTTAAAATACAGATATAAGGAGTATATATAGGAATGAATATAGGGAGAGGAAATTACCCATTTTTTTCTGATACTTGTCAACTTTGTCAACTATTTCCTTTGTAGAACTTGGATCACAATTTGAAAGTTGTAATATATTACATTATCCTTCCCTTGATTTCCTGTCCTTTATTTCTATTTTGTTATCAGTTTTGAAGACTGACAGTAAATTAAAGGATTTTTTGGATGTTACTCCATCACATGTTTTAATCCACATTATTATAACTGTAAATGACAAACTGTCTTGAAGTCAGGTTCATTGGTCAATTAAAAATGTGTATTTAGAAGACACAAGCCACTTTTATCTCTTTGACAAGTAGGAAGTTGTGCTAATACTTCTTTGTGTGTGTGCCTGCAAGCTTATTTCTAATTCAGACACTTATTCTCGAGTTCCTGGAGCTTAAGGATGTACTGAAGTAGTTATATACATTTTGTTCTGGGGATTTGCTTTGCTTAAGTACATTGTCATCTCTATGTATGAAGTTATTTGTCTACATCACTACTATTTTTGTCACGTTTATGAGGGAAAAGAGAAAAACATCTCATTTAGATCACAAATAGTAAGTAATTTTTAAAGTAATGTCATCTTCTATGCTTTCTTCAGTAATTTTCTCTGAAAATAACTCTTCCTAGATTGGATATTCTCTTCTTCCTCTTCCAGCTTGAGAGGAATTCCTAAAGTATTTTCTTATGCTTTTTTTCAGTTAGAATTATTTTTTCCCATTTGTTTTGGCTGTATTTCTGCTTTTTGATGTATACCTCTGTCTTGTACTGCTGGTTCTTTTTTTCGTTTTGCAATCGCTTTTAGTTTTACTTTGCTGATCCTGTTTTACTTAAGGTTTTTATCAGTTAAGTACAAGGTAATTAGTAGATATTTAAATAGTTTACTTCATCTTTGCACAGGGTATAACAAAATAGGAGATGGGACACGATGCAACTTAGCTGCAGGAACCATTACTAAAATCCACTTTTTAATGAGACCTCTAGCTTTCAATTTGCATCAGCAAGACAAACTGTTTTCTCAACCACTGGACATTGAAACGCTCAATTTTCCTACTATATGACCTTTTGGGTTGACTTTCTGACATTTTAACTCTTCTTCCCAGTTAAATAAACAGGAAAGCTCCTGACAGCAAAAAACTGAGTCCATCATGATCTTCTGAAGGCTTCTTGGGAGGTCTGTTGTGTTACATATACAAGGATACGCTGCTGTTAATTGTCCTACACTGATACTTGTTTTGGGAGAATCAGCCAATTCTATTGCCAGAAACACTGATCTGAGTACTCATTTTTCCTGCAAATGAGGGTTGTCATACCAAAAAAACACCCAGCAGACTGTTAGTTCTTGCCTCACCAGCGGCACTTCAGCAGAGTTGCTGATCACCTTTGAGATGAATTCTTAGTGATACAAGTAATGCCAGAACCCAAGCTGGTAATTGCATTATTGATTTCATGAAATAATATTTCCAGGGCAGTTGTTTCACTTCTTTCATGTGCTATCCAGCCTGACAAGATCTCTGGTGTCTGTGACATTAGGAGAATACAAGTAATGACCATTTCACTGTTCTGGTGATCTGAGCTTCTTTAGGGTGTTTCAGCGTGGTCCTGCCATCAACCACCTGTCAAAAATAGTTTAAACAGATTACCCTTGTCCTCACTACCTCTGCTTCATTGCTCTCCAGTTTCAGTTAGGTTAACAAAGGTAGAACATGAAAGGCTAATGGTAATGTAATGAATTTTCTTCCAGACAGCAGCTTCTCTCTTCATTCCACTCACCACAATAATCTAGTACAATGAATGAGTAGAAAATCATTTAGCAGTATTGAATTGACTCTTTTAAGTGGATTGTAAGAGTTTATTGATTTTGTGTTGAGCTGATATGTTAATACTAGTATTAAAAAACTAGTAGTGGTTCCTGGAATACTCTTTCAATTTTTTGAAATTTCTTTGTAACTTTTTTTCCTTTTTATTACTTAAAATAAATAAAGGTTGTTGTGGGTTTTATGAAACATTTCTCATTCTACTCTGTCAGATCTCCCTGATTGAAAAGCAAAAGTGGCAATTATTTTTTTTCACAATCACTCCCCCATTTTCTTCCATTTTTGCTCCTGCCCTCAGTTGGATTTAATATTGTGGCCACAGCTGTTTTTAGCTGCTTAGTACTTTAATTATATCATTTTGTTCCTGAACACAGAGACTGAGCCAACAGCAAATAAAGCTGATTTCATGTTTTAGACTTATTTTTCCAATAAATTGTGAGCTACTTTGATTTTTTTTTTTCTTCTTCACAGTTTAGTGTTCTCTAACGTTTTACATGTGGAAAAACTAGAAAGGTAGTTAAACTCCTGTAAACGGATGTCTGCCTGGTTGTTTTCTAACATTCAAGTTGGAATGTTTTGATCTCAGTTATAGTTTTGTAGGCCTACAAGTGTGATTGTTAGAATCAGTAAGGGTTTAGAGGTGTTTCTGATAATTATAACCTTCATGTAATTGCAACCTGTCAGAAACAGAAACTTTCTGTTTCTAGAATATATTCTGGTTTTATTCAGTTGTATTTCTGTATTAAAGCAATTAAACAATTTCCATACTAGGTGTTCAATTTCTGTTATGTTCAGAAACATTTTACCAGATCTGCTCTTCAAAATACTAAATGCAGAAATGGAAGCTGTTTGTCTACACATTACTGAAATACTTGAGTTTATAATTGAAACTAAAATTACTTTTCAAGTATTATAGTTCTTTGTGGTAGAAATATTATTGAGGAAATCCAAGTAATTTTGGTCAGTTCTGGAAAGGTCTTCATGATGACATCAGTGTTACCTTGAGAAGTGGCTGAATAACTCGCTAAGGCAAGATAAAAGTGAGATCAACCAAGGTAGCTAGAACAAAGAGAAATCATGCAAAATGCTAGCAATTTTAAATGCAAAATGTCCAACTCCATTAAAATCAGAATAGTCTAAAAAGTCTTAAAAAAGATTTTCACCACGGTCTGAACATGAGCAGTTACAAAAAGATTCAGGTCCTGAATGTGATTTTGGGTTGAAGAATCACATTACTGTATTCTCTGTGTACTAATAAACAATCAGATGTGAAAACTAACCTGAAGGAAAATCGTGTCGACTAGAAGGCAGATATTTTGATAAACTTGGATGGTTGCCTGAAAAAAAAAATAAAATTGAACCTGCTTTCCATGTGGAAATCACTCAGTTTTTTCTGCTTCCCTGTGATTTTTTTACGTGGCATTAGAAACAGTAATAGCAGAGAAACAAGAAATGCCAATAAAAATTGATGTTGTTAACACATACACAATTTACAACCTAGACATTTAAGTTCACTGTGGCTTGCCTTTCCTATTTCCACATATTATAATAGTTAGGGGAGTAAGAGTTATGTTCTGGGCTTTTTAATCAATTCCTCTTTCTGGACTAGTATAGATATTCTTGGCAGTTAATGGTACTAGAAGTGAAGTGGATTATTTTAATGTTCTCTATCCAGTAATATAAATACAGTAGTTGTAGTGGGAATGTTCTGTTCTTGATCCCTTTCTCTTGCAAATATGAATAAAAATAGTATTTGTTTCTCAGCTTTTTAAATGTCCACATTTGCCTTTAACATTCATCTGAAGAAACCCCAAACCAATACAGTGAGTGAAATACCCACCCCTGTTCAGTGAGTTGTTTTTCTAGGGAGTTCACTCCATTGACATTGACGAGTTGCTTTCTTTTCAGGAGTTCTGTAAAGTATTGCTAAGCTCAAACCTAATGAAAGTTATTCCCTAGCCAGAGGCAATAAAATCCTCTAATCCCTGAGAGGTAGAGAGCTGGTTGACACAGATCCAGGACTTTTAGTTTGGGACTGTTTGCTGAAATACCTTGAATGTCCAGTGTTGATAGCCCAGTAGAAATTAACTTAAAGAAGGAATTAGTGAAAAGATAAAACTAATCTCTAAAGCTATGGAGAAAAAGATTATTTATAATACCTCAGGCTCCCAAAAAATTCTAGGAGATTGAACTAAATGTAATATTAGATGAAGTTTGTAATTTATGAGGTTGGAAATAAGTATTGTGGCAATAATATGTGTGTAGTTTCAAAGAACATGGTTAATACCGTGTAATTTCCAGAGCTGTGTACTTACCATTCCAAAGGAACAGAAAAGTACAGACCTGTTACAGTTGCTTAATCTGTCATTCAGCTGAACTGGAAATCAGGGAGCAGCTGGAACACTGCAAGTTTAGCACTGCAGTTTGGTCTTCAGTGCCTTAGATGTTCATTACCAGCATGGAGGAACAGAAATGAATTGCTGAAGAGGAAGCACTTCTGATTTTGTTTCATTTTTCTTGGGTAATTCTACAGAAAGAGGATCTTGTTGTTCTTGGTAAATGTGGTGTTCTAGTATGTCTTTTGTATCTTTTGCTGTGTGACTATTCAAGTTATTTAGAAGGCATTTTTGAAAGATAAAATAATTGAAACCAAAATCTATGCATTAAAGATATGGCAATGATGCAAATAGAATCTTCATTCAGACCAATCAACAAAAAGCATGATTATTTTTAGTAGTTTGTGGCAGTGATTGACACTGTTCTTCCACAAAGCCCAACATAAACCTACACTAAAAAATTCTTCTAATTTCTTTTGTGGTAACAAGAATCTTCAGTACCAAATTTCTTTCTTTTGTCTTTAACATCCACTACCACTTCTGGTTAACGTTTTTGTCCAATAACATCACGGTGTTGAAAGGGCAGAATTTGGACCCTCCAGATTGAGGCTTATAGATTTGTTTATCCAGCAAGATATAGCATTTTTGCTTTTTACTGAAGCAGTCACATCAATAGCAAGCAAAACAAGGAGTCTGATCTAAATGCATATCTCTTTTTTGGTGTCTTAATCAAATACATAAAAATTATGAATTAGATTATTTTATGTTTTACCCTGGCTGTGCAACTGATTTCCTTGTATTACAGTCTCATAATTTTTTTCGTAGATTCTCTTTTTATAATCTTTTAAGAACAGTATTCATAGCTTAATAATAAATATGCAATACTAGTTTACGGCTTTAATTTTAAACAATAAAATACATTAGATAATTTTGACTAATGTAGTGTTCTGTATAAGTCAGTTCTGTTAAAGTGAGCTTTCTGATATTGATGTAAAATGTTATTTATTTTTTAATTAATGGTATTGCTTTATTCTTGTAAAATAATTTTATAATGTAAGTGACTTTAAACTGTCATAATATTTTAACATTTTTAAGTGCAATTCTCTGTACTAGAATTACTTTGTTATGGACCTCTACAGAGGTTTGGGTATCTTTTGAAAAGTGAAGAGCCCTTAAGAACCATTTAGAAGCTTTGTTAGATAGTACTGCCCATTTATTAAACATTTTGAAAGAGAAATATTATCAATAAGCCATTCACTAGAGTTAAAATACTTAAAAGCAACTCATATTTCAAGCTGGTGTATTAACTTTATGCACTCGTCTTTAAAAAAACCCCAACGATATTTCTCTAAAAGTTGAGTGTAGTCATGAGAAGAATCATCATGAGTCTAGTTCTTACTGACAATCTAATAAGAGTTTTATATAAATCATCCAAATTACAATATTCTGGCAGAAATTCTTGTCTACCTGACATGTCTACCTGGCTGGCTCCCCCTCTTTTTCAATTTTTCTAGAGAAACTACCACACATATCTCAAAATAGAGCAGCTATATGTTAAAACAAAAGCTCTCTGGATAACTTAAAAAATAAAAAAATACAGTTAAAATTAAATTGTCTTCCAACTTCTGAATCCCCCTCATCCATCCCACCCCTCCTGTCTTCTCATCTCTTTAGAGGAATGAGAGAAAACTTTACATCTGTTACTCAGAACCTGAGGTATTCCACCTGCATGTTGGTATCATTTAGAATTAAAACATGTGATGTACTATTGGACATGTCTAATTCAGGTGGAAGGGGTGGTAGGGAGGTCTTGTTCAAGTTTTCTTAATTTTTTAAAATTGTACTTAGACTTAAAAAGTAAAAATAAAAATTGTTACAATTTTCAGCGTTATTCTATAAACCAGAACGTTTAGGATTTTAAAAGGGCTGTAAAGTTTTGACCAAAACCTCATAGAAATATGAACTCCTTATTTTGGATGCTGGAATAAAACCAGTGTCCTTGGATAGGGATGTGGCATAGTGGAGGAGAGGAAATGCTATGAGCACTAGTGAACAAATGTTTTGGACGTTTGTTTTTGTGACACTTCATTTGGATCTCAGCTCTCCCAAGGTTGAACAGCAGTGATCAGTCTGTAATGAATTTACATTGTGTTGTTATTATGATCTGAGAAAAATTATGACAGTGCTACTGAGCACAGAAAACTGAACAGGGTAGTGCCTTCTTTAGCACTGATTCTGACAACAAAACTCTTCCAACTGGGAAAGTTTCACATTTTCATGGAGAAAAAATATGGGGTTGCAAACTCTTCCTGGCTGGGTTTCATACAGATCTTTCAGAAACACATGATTTTTATTTTTTTTCATGGAATGTCTGAATATGAATAGCATAGGATTTTAAGAGTGTATTATGAAAAGTGTCTTACAGTAAATGTGCACAATTACAGAAGAAATCGTTTGCCATTAATACGTTCCCATTTATCTTTTAATGCTTTTAATTTTGGAAAAAGGTTGGTTAGAGAAAAGTTATCGTCTTGGGCTATTTATCAGTAAGAAAAATCTTTCCTGGAAAAAAGGGTTTTCTAGTCAAACGTTCTTTAAAATATGCAGAAATATATGATGTGCATAGTAATGTAGAATTTGTGAAAATTATCCGATTAATATAAGTAATTTTGATATTCTGTCTGTATAAGTGAGTTCAAGCATGACCAGGAATGCTCCTGTGCACTGGACTAGAAATATCTATGTTGGCAAATCGTTGTAATGCTCTGGGCGGTGAACTTGGCATAGGTGTGAACAAAATGCCCCTGGAGCATTTCTTGGTATTGAATCCTGCAGAGTTAGGGCACCTTCTTAATCTCCAAGGCATAGCTGTAGCAGCAAAAATGGTGGCTTTTATTTCACAGAATTAAATTTGGATGTCCTGTTTATTAGGTGTATTTTTTTTATCTGAAGAGAAAGACTTCCTCCCCCTGCAATTACTTATTTAATTATTGAGTATGGGATTGACCATTGCTACTTCTGCCTCATTACAGCATGTTTAAGATAGCACCCACTTTCAAGTAGGCTGAGCAGTGAGCAGAGCACCAGCCCCTGGGCAGGTGTGCAGTCAGCAGGAATAGCTCAGATTCATCACATGTGCTGGGCTCATGGAGATTTCCATGAAATCTCATTGTTTTTATAAAGGTCCTTTAGGAAAGGAGATAAAGGACACAAAGCAGACGGAAAACCATGGTGATCTAAGTAGAGATCTGGGTTGAGAATTGATGCTTTAAAAAGAGTGATTTCTATTGTGTTGTTAAAAGATGTTATTTTTCTGGTTTTACCCCAATTTCACTATGCTAAGTCGTACATAGACATGTATTCATACTTTATGAATATACATGAGTTACTATTTTTTTCCAGAAAAACCTGGAAGAATACAATTTGATAAAAATATTAAGAGTATTATTTATCTCCATTAGCTAATGGAGAAGTATTAACCCCCTTCCAAATAACTTTTTTCAGCTGAAAGTAAATTTTCATTTAGAAAACTGATTAAAAATGTCATATTCTTCAGAATAGAAACTGTACATGTGAAATTTTTAATTCTGATACATGAAAAGAAAGAACATATATGAAAATATTTTATAACAGCTGTGATTTAGACTGAGATCAAATTAACTGCATTTGTGCAGTTTTCTTTCAAACCTTACTATATAATGAAGTACAATTCATGTTTTCTGTCAAGGTTTTAAACTGATTAATTCTATGGTGAGATTTTTTTTTTTTTTTTCAAGTGGAAAACACAAAACATTTATTGTCTTGGGTTCAAGTTTCTAACGTGATCATATAGTGACTGCTCTTCAGATCTGAAACATGCTTCTCACTTTGATTCATAAAAACTCCTAATTTTTAGACTTTCAACCATGTTGAAAGAACCTCTTGTTCTCTTTTCTGTTCAAACTATTAAGCAGGTAGTGTGTTGAGTAGGTATCTTTACAGACAGCTTTAGATAAACTGTGATTTTTTTAATTAAGGAACAGATGCCTGGTTTTCTGCTTGCAACATCCTTGTAACACACTTTAAGTGCTGTTATCCCATTTTTCCAGGTTCTGTAAGTATAGAAGTATTAAGTGTTTTGTCTAAAACTATAAAGTGATGTGAGTCCCCGTTTGCACTTTAAAAGCTTCTTAATCAGCGACAACAATTATTCTCATGTTTCTCTTCTGTGCTTATGTATTTTAGGTAATTGTGAAGTCTGGACCAGGCACATTTCTCAGCCTGGCTGTGTATGATGAATACATCTTCTGGTCAGATGGGGTGAGGAGAGCTATCCTGCGTTCCAGTAAATACACAGGAGGAGACACAAAAGTTCTTCGTTCTGATATCCCTCATCAGCCAATGGGCATTATTGCTGTTGCCAATGACACCAACAGTTGTAAGTTGCAAAGCAAGATACACTGTTTTCTGAATTCCAGAACCATTCGTATCAGATATTTTATTTAGTTTTAACGGAGTTAAAACATTTCATGGTGTTTCAGAAATTCTTGTTGTAGTAGCTGTTAACTTAGGATAGGGTATAACCTCTTTCCAAGCAAATAAATATTGTTGAATGACCATTTTCTGCTGTGGATGTTATGCTCAATGGGTGCAGTTAAATATTTTCCTGTCGGATTTTGTCAGGTTTGAATGTTGTAGGTTTTTCAAATTATTATTTTCAAGGTAGCTGTGTTTGTTTATCTTTAGTGTGCCAGCATCTGAGGCACGCTGACGTTTTCATCTGTCTGATAAAACCTGAATCAATTGCCCGTGAATCTGAGATATGGTGATCTTTGCTCTCTCAAAGACATTGGCCGTTGAAGCAAATTTAATAAAACAGAATTCCACTTTTATCATTTGTTTTTTCAGGTGAGTTATCTCCTTGTGCACAAATGAATGGAGGTTGTCATGATTTGTGCCTTCTGACGCCTGACGGGCGAGTGAACTGCTCGTGTAGAGGGGACAGAATTCTGATAGATGATAACAGATGTGTGAGTAAGTAATACTGGCTGACACAATGCTTTTCTATGCTGTGATGCAGTTGCCTATCATAAGACAGTTGGCTCAAGCCATTAATTTTATTTCTTTTATAAACTGTAAAAATTGGTCTGGCAATTCAGCACGTATCTGGCTTTTTAAACTATTTTGTCTGATAAGGCTTTTTGAGGATTAGAAAGCATTAATACTCCCCTTAAATCATTATTATGGTAGTGAGATACTGGTGAGATACTGCTTTCTTATTCATAGTTAGGATTTTTACATCTCTATCATGATTACTGCTGAGATAGAAGTGTCTGTGTGCATCAGTTGTATCTCTCTAGGACTCTATCATATGAATTATTGAAGCTGAACCTTAATTGAGGCCCTTTTTCTCACTTATTTAAGGTCAAGGCTGTGGTCAGCAATGGAAGTGAAAGAGGTTCAGCAGATAAATTCATACATTGGATGATGTGTTATAAAATTATTATATTGCATTTATATTTTCCAAAAACATTGCAACTCTAAAAATTGTTCTTTGGTAAAACCATGTTTATATCTTCATCTAGACCATGATGCAAGATTCTGTCTTCTAAATTAGTTTTTTGGAATGTTTGCAGGAAATGTTCCTCTGAGCTATTAGTAAAAGAAAAAAACAAGTAGAAGAAAGACTTAGACATTAAACGTTGGGGTTGAGTAGCCCAGGAAGGATGGAAATAAAAGAGACTACAGTTTAGCTGTCAGATGAAAAGTTACTTTCTTCGTAACACAGTTGAAATGGATACTCAATAAAATTGAAAGTTAGCAATTCCAGCTGATAGAAGGAATTACCTGTCCTTCCATAGTGCAATTAATCTATATAGTTTACTGCCAGTCAAGATTCTTGAGATAAAACTTCAGTAAAATTCAAAGAGGGATTGGATGCTTATATGGGTAATGACTACCCTGACTCCTCACTTCTCATCAAAGAAACACTTTGAAAGACATTAAAATGCTTTTTCTGCAAGATGGAGTTTGAAGCAATGTCTGCAAAGGTGTCCAGTTAGACTTTAACTGATTGCAGATTATGCCATACATACTTTTTTTTTTTCATATTTTCATAAAAACTGCAGTTTAAGGTGCTGAACTAGATGAACTAAAATTTCTTAGATCTAAGTTCTTACTATTCTAAAACATGGGAGGAAAAGAGAGAAAAGTAATTACTGTGATAAATTTGATTAAGATGTAGAAGACTGTATAAATTATATTTAAGATCATATCTCACCTTGTCCAAAATCTGTATTTTCAGCGTTTCTTTTATATTTTATTTCATGTTTGAATCAAATCAAGAAATTATTTTAATTTATTTTGGCTTGAATTTTTAATATATCAGGCACTGGTTCTTCCTGAGTTTGTGCTGAAGTAATTATAGTGGCTACAAGAAGGAAACATAATTATTCTTCTGGGTCTATTCTGGATACTTCTTGTTTCTCTCAACTTGGATATTTTGTTTAGAACTGTGACATGAAGCAGATGTATGAACTATCATGAAGTTCATGAACAAATTGTTCTGTGTCAACTTTGTGATAGCTTTTAGTTTCTTAGCTGAACCAATAGAAAATCTATATGCAAGAGAAAGCAGAAGTAAAAATTTTAAATGTGCATCTGGTTCTCTTCTGAAATAATAGATAAAACATGCACTAGATGAGAAGCTGAGAACACAAAAAATTAGGTGTATATCACTGGGAGTTTTTTGTGAATAAAAGGGAATAAGTAAAGTAGATACAGGAGGTTTTCTTAATTGGCTGTATCTTCACCATTTGATGTAGTGCATTGATGCTGGTAGCTGTGTATTACAGTGCCACAAAACAGAGTTGAGAGTTCAAATTAACTACTTGGCAATTGTAAATGTTTAATTCTTCCTTTTGGATGGGCTGTGTTGAAGGGATGTTTTTAAAGCATCTGTTAAGAAATGGTTGCATGCAAACTGGGAGTTGGGGAGAGGTGTGTGAGAGTAGAGGGTCTCTGAGCACAGTAGTTCCAAAGTCGTTCTTATCAGAATCTGTGCCTTGAAGTTATTTCAGTGCCTGTTCCTTCATGGATATTTGGCTCTGTATTTTTCTTTTTGGATTCTTTCTGTGAAAGCTTGTAAGTTCTGATGCCATGGTGGGTTTGTTTGTTTATTTATTTATTTATTTATTGCACCGAGGTTTTTGAAAACCGCCTAGCAGATGCTTCAAACACAGCCAACATGTTTCTCATTTTCACTAATTGTGAATGCTTTTAAAAAATTAGGTGTTAATGTGTTTTATTTTCAGCTAAAAATTCTACTTGCAACATCTATTCAGAGTTTGAATGTGGAAATGGTGAATGCATTGATTATCAGCTGACTTGTGATGGCATTGCTCAGTGTAAGGACAAGTCCGATGAGAAACTCTTCTACTGTGGTGAGTATTTCTAGGACTTTCACCTTCACGTTGTTATTTTGGTTGTATGTGCTTAGATTGTTTCTTCTGTGACTTTTTTCTACTTACTCATACCAACTGCTCGCCGAGAAAATACCAACTCACACGTTAGGAAAGCCCTGACATTGTATGGATAGAATTACTTAATATCTGAAAATATTTTTCCCTGCAAACTTCGTATATTAACTGACTTGTTTTTAATAAAAAGCATCTCAGATGTTCTGATATTTCTGTCTGTAAAAGAAAAATAAGGAAAAGCACAGCTAGCTGCTTTTTTAAAGATGAAAAATTGAGTACTGTCAGATTTAATTTAGCGATTTTGATTTAGTTTTTAGTAGTTAATAAGATTTTTTCTGATTGTGAATAGAAAACGCCTAAATAGAAATGTTATAAAATACAGAAATGGCTGTGTAATAGATATCTTTCCACACAGTTTTCTATTTAAGTTTATAGTGTTGTTATTCTTCACAACAGTCCATCTACATCCTGCAACAATTGAGATGCATGGATGTCAACTTCCATAATTTCCTCAAAGGCTTCTATCCTTACATATATTTTTTCCTCTAATAACCACTAACTGAATAATTTCCAGGTTTTTTTGTGGCCAACTGAGTTTGCCTGCTGCAGTGTCTAAAACACTACTGTTCAAATAATTTTCCTTCAGCACTGAGTCATGTTAGTGAATTCATGTGTCCTGCAAATGAAATTAAACCTCCTTGTTACTTGTGTGCCTGTAACTCTTAGCCTTTTTTCAGTTCTGTGTGTCCATATCACAGACTTGGAATCTCTTGTTTCCCATATGAACAATTTCATGTCATTTCAAACCCACTGTTTATGTTTACACCAGTCACCTCTGTAGTTTTATGAAAATGTCTCATTTAATTCCTGCAGTTCACCTCAGCCATTTTAATAATAAACAGAACAGTTTCTTTTTTTCTTTTTTTTCCCTTGAAAAAATTAACTGATTTTTTTTTTCTTCTTTCATCTTCAATTTGTGTCTCTTTAACATTCAGACTTCTGTGTAACTGCTTTGATCATGTCATGTAAAACTAACAGTGATGTTTCATCAGAACATCTACATGTAGATAACTTAGAAGGTTTAGTTATTTGAATCTGAAAAAAGATAAGACATCAGATGAGGAAATAAGAATCGGGAATATGCAAAACAGTGTTAGTTACCAGGGGAAAAGGCCCTTGAATTACAAGTGACAGCTTCAAAGTATTGTATGTGTTGATATATTTGTATTTATGTAAGCATTATTTGTATTTATGTAAGCATTATTTTTATTTATGTAAGCATAATGCTTAGAGATAAGAATTAATTTAAAACAAATGACAAACAAAGGCAAACCACAAAACCTGACACCACCTCCAAAAAAACCCGGATAGGTCTATTTTTAAATAGATTAATCCTCTTCGTCTCTAGTATTATTTTTAGTCATTTATTTTGTTCACAGTTCATGGAAAAATATTGAGTTTTTCATATAGTTTCTTTTTCTTTGTTAGGAGAGGAGAGTAGGTTGAAGGACTAGAGAAACAGTCATTTGGGAACAAATAAGAAAGTTGTAGTTGGTGAGGAATCTTCAAAACACTCTTTCTTGTCATTCCAGAGAAACTGTCTTATATGTCAGTAGTCTTTTTGAGATTTTCTGAGCTGCAAAAACTGTTCTATACTTTAATCTTGAATTTATATATTTTTAAGTATTGTAGAATAAAAATTTAGAAATAGATTTATAAATGAAATATTTTTTGCCCAGAGAATTTATGGATGGTCCATCCCTGGAAGTGTTCAAGGCCAGGTTGGTCAGGACGTGGAGCAGCCTGGTGTAGTGGAAGGTGTCCCTGCCCAAGGCAGGGGAGTGAAACAAGATGACCTTTAAGGTCCCTTCCAACCCAACACATTCCATGATTCTAACATCCAACAATTTGTCTTTCCATGGATTTACAACATAATTTTATGAAGAACATTATGTTAGTTTGTGGTGTGACAGTGTACCTTTTGACTTATTTTGCTACACCTTGGAAAAAGAGCAGGAAGAACTGGGGTTCTGTCATGAACTAGGTCATTGCTTTCTGAATCTGATAAAGTACGGGATATTGGAATCATTATTGTTGATTAACTAATGAAGTGAACATTATTTATTATTGTGACATGACTTCTGCAATGATTAGGGCTTTAGTAAATCAGCCCTGAATTTTCAAACATATCAATATGTGTAAAGTTTGTACATTCTTCAGTAGGGTTCTTGAGCAGAATGCTGGAAGTATTTGGGTTCAGAAATCCAGAAACTTCTCTGCTAGTATTTGTTGTTATTTTACTCTCCATTTATTCCTAATTTGGTTCAGGGCAAATTTGGTGTGTAACTCATTCTACCTGATGGAATTACTGATGCCACATGCAAACATTATCACAAAAAACTGTGTCAAAATAAATGCATTTAAGGCACGTGATCTTTTTATACCACAAGATAGTGAAAACAAGGAAATTAGGCTTTCCTTTTTAATTTTTTTGGGGTCATTAATTCTTTCTCATCATGCTTTCATTCATTATTCTTTATTTGTTTATCAGTCCAAGTTTTTCTGCTGGACAATAAACGAATAGTTTCTGAAGTTTTTCCTGTAGCTTCAAATGCTTTATCAGTTAATTTTTTTTTCTGGAATGTTTGTTTGGTTTTCATGTAAGCCTGTTTGTATTAGACACAAAGTGTCTAAATGAAAATATGTGCTTAACTTTCCAGAAAATAGAGGCTGTCGGAAGGGTTTCAAACCATGTTCTAATCGTCGCTGCATTTCAAGTAACAAAGTGTGTGATGGTGTAAATGACTGTGGTGACAACTCTGATGAATTTGACTGTAAAGGTAAATGGCAGTTATTTCCAAGGTGATTTTGGAGTATTGCTTTATAAATATTCAACATGTAAATAGAAGTAGCTAGAAAATACGTGTAATTTAATCATATTTTGGGATTGATATAAAGGCTGATTTTGGTTTACACCCACAGTCCTCTAGGACTATGACTATAAAATAAAATATAAATATACATATATATTATATATAACATTTTTTATTATAGATATATAAAATATAGAATACAGGTGCTACTTCTTCTATAATATAATAAATGAGAGTATCTTTACTACAGACAGAAGGGTTGAAAGATGGGTGTTTTCTTCTCTGAGTCTGCTTTTTCTTTGAAGTAGCAAGTGTTCTGTTTCTTTGCTTGTCAGATGCATGGCAACATCTGTGTCCTTTGCAAAGCTTACTAGAATTGTTCTCCCTTTTCTATCAGAATTTTTTTTTTGTTTAGTGTCTTAAAACATGAATATTTATGTTTGTGTACCAACCAGTGAATAAAGACTAGCTAAAAGACAACACAAATCTTAGTTACAATTCAGGAAGATTGGAGGGGATATTATCCCACACTATATAGGTAAAAAGCTATATAGCTGTAGTAACTAGCATTTTTTTGAAAACACTGAATGGTTTTTAATCATTTAGTTAAATATAGATAGGGAGAAAAGCATACAGGGGAAAAAATGAACCTGGTGTTACAAAAAAAGAAACCTGAGAGATTCATAGATGGTCCTGAAAATGCTTCTTCCTTCCTTACACGGTGATTATCTCAAATTGAGTTGAATTATACAGAGATACTTTTAGGCTAAAACATAAATTGAAAAATTAGAAACTTACGAGATCCTATAAACTCAAAAGCATATGTCTACTGAATTTTTAGCTATGGAAGGTACAGCGTGTTCTGACTGCCTCATTCTGAAAGGTAGAAAATGTTTAAACATAATACATATGATGTGCATCTTAAGAGTCTGTTTAGTAAACAAATTTACATCTTTTATGACCATGTGTTATAGATTCAGCATGTGCTTCGACAGAATTCCGTTGTGCAGATGGGACTTGCATTGGAAAATCAGCGCAGTGCAACCAGATCATTGATTGTGCAGATGCTTCAGATGAAAAGAACTGCAGTAAGTTTGTGTTTGTGCTTCGCTGGAGCATCTGCTCCATGATTATTCCTTGTTATGTGGCAGTTAATTCATAGTCATTACTGGTTGGGAGACCAACACCTGCATGGTCTGTGCAAGCTCAAGATAAACCCGAAAATTAAACTATAAGGCTCTCAGTCTGTGATAGGTGTGATGCACTAATTTGATGTCTCTTTCCAGATAATACAAACTGTGCTTACTTCTATAAACTTGGAATAAAATCTTCAGGATTTATTAACTGCAATTCAACTTCCCTTTGTATACTGCCAGAGTGGATATGTGATGGATCTAATGACTGTGGAGATTATACAGATGAACTAAAATGCCCAGGTAACTGTAAAAAAATAAATAGAACATTAATTTTATTTTTTTAATCTTAGTTGGGGAGGGGACAGTGTTTCTTATTGTGTTGCAAAATGTTTATTCAGTCAATAGTAATTTATTTAATATGGAGAATAATATAATACTGAATGCAGTTTATTCACCTTTATTTTGTGTTTCATCAGATTATGCAAATTATTACAAATTAATACTGCAGTTTTCTGAAGAAAATTGCAGTGTCTAGCTTTCTATTTCCTCCAGGTTAGGTCTGTCATTTATCATTTTTTATTTAAGTAAAACATGAGTCATTAAAATCTCATGCTCATCAAGCATCAGCATAATTACTCAGGAACTTTTATTAGCTACTGCTTTAGTGAGGGGCATTTCTTTTCTTCCTGGCTATTTTTTACTTTTCCTTTTATTTGGTTGAGGTCCCTGGGATAAGCTGCCAGGGTAGAATCCAGGGTTATTGCTTTTGTGATTGTTCTGGTCCTCAACCAGTAAAGAGGGATCATGACACACTTGAGTCCCAGACACAGGACTGGGGTTATTGCTGTTTATTTAATGTTATCCAATGAATTATTCACAATATTAAATTCTTACCTAATGAAGGATGGCATTTATGTGTTTGCTCTGTTTTTATCCAGAACCCCTCGTTTGAGTTTGAAAATATTAAGTCCAACGTCTTAACATATCTATAAATAAAGAAGTGATAAACTATATTTAGAATGAGAATACTTTAATCAATAGAGATTTATTGTATCCTGTTTGTAGGATTAGGCCCATCCTAGGAAATTCTCATCAAATTGAATAGAGTGCACTAAGAAAGAAACTCTGGGAACATCAAACCTGTATCTCCTCTCCTGCACCTCAAGCTTATATATATATATATATATGTGTATATATATATATATATAAATTGGTAGTGCTTTTTGCTTATAGTATTCCTGTTACTTTTGTCTTGCAGAACCACATTCAGTCTTTTAATTTCTAATCTACCTGTATTCCACTTTACACCTGATCTTGTAGTCCTTCAGTAATATCCTTACTCTTTACTTGCCATTGGCAAATAAGCCAGGATATTTTAAAATTTCTACTTTCAACATAAGAATATTTTGGTCATCTAAACATGCATCTCTCTTGATTATACTAGACCGGTATCCTGTATAGCAAATGAAATCTTACTTTTGCCTTGTATCAGTGCAAATACAATGTAATTTTTTGTTTCTATTGGTTTTCATAATTGGCTTATGCTAGAGTATAATTGTCCTCCTGTGACCTGTAACTCTCTTTTTCTAAGAATTAGTATGTATTAATAATATTTACTAAATAATAAATTCTATTAATTTGTAGAAATACAACTTTTAATTTTATGTTGGTAAATACTCTCCAGCTTTTGCCTAGTAATGAACATAATCTGATTATTTCCATTTAATATTCTGGGTTTCTGTGTGATAATCACACTGTGTCACCAGAAGTTTCTATTACAATTCCCATATGTTATGCCAAATTTAATGATGAAAATATTACTAGGATCCAGAGAAATCTAGAACTTCCCCACTACTGTCCGTCAACCTGACGTTAAAAACATTCCTCCTTTCTATAAAAGAGATTTATATTAAAATTATAGTTTCCATTCTAATCTTCATATTCTCTACATTATCTTAGTTCTGTAGAATTAATGTATATAACACTTCATTGAGCTCAGAATAGCTTATATTTACTGTATTTCCACAAAAAGAAAGGTTTTTTTCCATACCAAAGAGGATTTTGAGGGCAGTGTGCTGCAGCTCCAGTAAACTAATGTTGCATAAGTACACTAATGTGCATTTTATTCCATCATCCATTTATTTGTATCACTTTTTTTCTGTTTTTCAAATGTGTGCCAAAATCTTCCATCATTTTAATGTGTGACTAATTGCCTGCATCATTCCTCCCTTTACTTGGGAGCAACACCATTTGCATTCAACCTACATGTGATTTCCTTTGCCATTTCATTCAAAACTGACCGACTTAGGCACATTTCATTTTTGAGTATTGTTTCTATTATGAATATTATAACTCCCATTAGCAGTTTTGTTCAGTATCATTTTTCTTACAGAAAATTACAGCAAAAATGCTCATTTAGGAGTAGCTATACTTAGACAATCTTTAATATCTGCCAAATCATCATAGACGTCCCACTTCTTTCTTTGTTCTTTTTTTGCTACTCATACAGCTGTAGAAGCCATAAATATGATAACTTTATCTTTCTTTTTAAAAGAAAGGAGGCTGAAAACCAACCCAGTGCTGATTGCCTCAGTACATTGAGGGAATAATATAAACCGTGGCAGAGTTTCAGTGATCTCCAGTGCTCAGAACTCTATCTCCTGGGTTTTCCCAGGACCTTGCCTAAGATTTTGAAAATAACCTGTTGTTAGAGTAATATTTGTGCTTAAATAATGGAAATAAATATATAGCATGTTTTCTTTCCTCACATCTGTTTTCTACGCATTCATAAACATAAAATTTTAAATTACCTCCACACTCTACAAACAACAAAGACAACAACTTTGGAATTTCTGACAAAGTCTAAATCTCTGACTACAACATCACTGGTATAGCTGCTGTTAGTCAGCACATGAATCAGATTTGTAGCTTATCCAGTGATAAAAATACTGCCCCCATTAGGTTATGTTGTAAATTATGGTAGCTAGATCAGAAAGGTAATTCTGTCAGCTGGTGTAAAACATGAATCAATGTGTACCTGTCTGACCTCAAAACCTGTAAACTGAACTACTTACTTCTATAGGCCTTTTGATTTAGTTTGAAACTGTGCTCTAATTCTTCTCCAGAAAAAAAATGAAGTATTTCAGCTCCCTAAACTACTTAGCTGTCACTATTTTTTTTTTAATTTGTATGAACACAAATTATATAAACAGTATTTTTTTCATTTTTAGACATAAACACTTTGTCCATTAGTATTCAGAAATTTAGCAGAAATGTATTAGGCTCCTAATCATACAAGTAGAGACCATTTTACATTACATTCTTTATTTTATCACAGTTCAAAACAAACCCACATGTGAAGAAAATTATTTTGGTTGTCCTAGTGGAAGATGTATTCTGACCACCTGGCTTTGTGATGGGCAGAAAGACTGTGAGGACGGAGTAGATGAATTGCACTGTGGTGAGCATTTTATCTTTCTTGTGTTTCTGTAATCACTAATGCACTTTGAAAACAAACAAGTGTGCATTTTTATCTCAGACATTGGTTATAGACCTATATAAGAATATCTTTATATATTTTTAGATTCAACTCTAATACTTCATGTTGTCAATACCTTAAATTCCATCTCATGCCAGAATGAAAACCTTTTAATTTCTTTTTCTTAAGGATATGTTTATATACAGATTTTTCTATTTAATATTTAACAATTCCACTAATTCTTCAAAACTCCTAATTTTGAAGCAGTTTTACTTAAAAAAATGTCCTTCTTTTCTATTTTGGACAAGTTCTCCTTTTGGAACAGTTTTAGATATAATCAGTTTGAATCAGTATCTAGACCCCAACAGAAAACAGCCAAACATAAAAGTGGACATGCCTTTGCATCAGGGACCATACAGATATAATTGTTTAAAATAATAAAAGTAATGTGAATAAAATAAAGCATGAACTGTGAACTGGGTTAAGGGTCTGTTGTGTCTCAGATTTTTCAGATTCTTAAATTCTGCCTAATTGAGGAGCAATGCAGGTTGGTTTCACTAACAGTAAGAGCTGATCTTTTATCTTCAATTTGTATGGATTAACTTAACAGAGTATTTCTGTAATTAAATTGTAGCAGAACAGCAAAAAGCAGTATGAAATTTTCCTATTCCCTATTTAAATAAAACCTGATTTTTTTTAAATTTTTTTTTTTATTTTTTACTTTACTTCTTGACTTGACCAAACATTATACTTTACTCTCTTCATGACCCAGTTCCCATTAACATGCTTCCATATTTGGTTTGCAGTTTACATTGTATATATATACATCTTATAACTTCAAAATTAGGATCTGCTGTGCACTGTGACAATCAGAAAGTTTTGTGTTGATCATATTTATCAAGTGTAACTCACTGTTTACGTTTCCAGGTTTTATTACACATACATATTTGTATGTAATATTGTAAAATGTATTAGCTGATTTTTTGTGGGTGAGAGAGAAGGGGATTAAGTCAATTCTGCTTTCTCTACTGGTCACTCTTACCCATTTTGAGGTACTTGTTACAATAGTCTACTTGTAAATTCAGATTGCATTACTTATTTTTTTTATTGTAAATTCTGATTGCATTAACTACAATCCTTTTTATTGCTACATTAAAATTTTTTCTCATCAGTTAAAAAAAAATTCTTAAAGAAGTCTGGGAAATGTCACAAGAACAGCATTGATTTATGAGTTGTGCAGTCTGATTCTAAACGCAGAAAAATGTTATTTTAAATGTATAGAAAAGTGTAAATGAGACAACAGAATGCAAACACACAGCAGTTTTCTCGTGAGAGAAAATAACATGAAATCTATAAAAGATGGAGATAAATACTGAAATAGCAGGACGAAGTCTGTGTTGAAAAATTTGGACAGTGCCTTCTCTGCCCTACTACCCAAATAAAGCAGTTCACTGTAGTCCTAGTATTTATATTAAATACACAAACTAGACTAAGCTTTTAAAGTAGTTACCATCATCCCCCTAGCAAAATGTTTGAAAATATTAGAACGTATTTGGAATGTTTCACTGTTTATTTATTTTTATAAATGTTTTGGTGATACAAACTCTGAGACAAACCAGTAACACGCTGAATAGCAAGATTAGGATTGTACTGTGTTTGAGTGTTTTAATACCTGGGAAACTAGGGGGACAGAAAGGAGCAGTATGAAAATTCCTAAACTGTGCTAGAAAATGCAAGGAATGCAGTGATGTTTTGTCATTCCTAGATTCGTCTTGCTCATGGAATCAATTTGCTTGCTCTGCAAACAAATGCATCTCTAAGCAGTGGATTTGTGATGGTGAGGATGACTGTGGAGATGGTTTAGATGAGAGTGATGCTATTTGTGGTAAGTAGGATAATTTTAGTCAGGTCATGCATAATGAAAGAGATGATGTGTTTCAAGAAGATGGTGTAAAGAGGACAAGAACAAAAGCATCTCCAAACAGTGTTCACTTTAAGGATAAAATATGAGATGATCTCCTCCCTCAGCCCCCTCCAATTAGCTGAGAGAGTCCTTTTTATGGGGACTGTATGATTTGTGTGTGCTCTGTCAGTAAAGATATGAATAGCATACCAGTCTGGGCAAAAGGACAATAAAACTTTTCTCTAATTCCCACCCTTGAGGTAAAACCCCTATTTGAGTTTCACATTTCAGTGGTAGGTGCTTGAAGACTAAAAATGTGTGTATTTTTTCCTCCAACTCTTTCTCCTATTCCCTTTAAATTTTTCTATATGCATTCGTAAGCATTATTGCATAATATTCCTCTCAAATTCCCAAAACCTTCAAGGTACATAAGGATTTGAAAATTTTGTTTTCATTCTGGTACTCGGTTGACTGGAAAAGTGTTAGTGAATTCTTCTCAAAAGAAAATCACATTATGTCAAGTCATACTGTCACAATTTAATGATATTTATACATTGGTTCCATTGTTAACTATTCTGTTTTTTAAGATTTAACTTTAAAATATTTGTTCCTTTTCAGAAATTCTCTTATTTAAATTTCATTCAACAAAGAGTATTTTATTCCATATTTCATGTGTGGTACCAAGGTGCTGAAAGGGTTAAGTAGACAGAGAGGAAATCACTTCAGCTTATGTTCAGATTTGTGGTGACCTAATCAAACAGATGTATAAATGTCATCAAATGAAAAGGATGGAGGTGGAACTTATAGTGGTTTTATATGGCAAAATGTGAATTAATTAGTACACTAACTTCAAGCTGACATCCATCTACAATACAGTTTTCATGGTATTCAGGTCCTACTGAGAAGACAAGCACCTCATCTGAGGATAATATAGAACAGTGTGAAACCCTAAAAGACATGAGGACCCGAAGCTTAGTAGGAATAGAACAATACTGATGAAAACAAAGGGCAGCAAATTGCAAAGTGTCACTACAAGATGACTTATTTTTGTCTTTTAAGGTTGTTCAGAATTAACTACTTTTGATATCTTGACTTGCAACACATTATAGATCTCTTGTTAGAAGAAAGCTCACCAATACAATTGTAGACCATCTCTCAAAGAGGGAAGATCTGCACCAGTTATGAAGAGGGGAGAGTTAAGGCTGTATTTCTCCTTAGGAACAGGAGGTGGACTTGAACTGTGAGAGGATAAGAGAAATCATGACTTCAGATTTTTTTAAAAATCAGTATTTATTTAACATGAAGTTTAATTCCAGAACTATCAAAAAATGACCAATGTCCAGTAACCAAAAGTTACCACTTTTGAAAAAATAGGACAGGAAAATTATTTTCTAATATTTTAATATTTTATTAATTTCTAATTAAAATTAGTAGAAAATGCACTGTTGATTTTTTAATGAAACATATTTAGCTTATCTGAGAGAATACATTAAGTGATTGTGCAAAAATTTACTTCCAAACACAGTAAAATTAATCCTAGGATATAATATTATCAGGAGAATAGCCCATTAAAAAAAAGAAAGTCAAGTAAAAAATATGTAGAGTTATTTGAATTAGAAGTGTCAGATATTTTTTACTCCCACTACTTTTGTGCTTGGTCCACATTGTTCTCTTCTATGTGGGACTGACTCATGAAAAATTTGAAAGCATTTAGCCTCCTGGAATAGTCTGGTGATTCAAGGATTATGTGGTTTACAAGGTTAGTTCCTTTGTTCAGTCAGTCCAAACATGCAGTCAAACACACAGACCAAAACTAGTTTGAAAAGTTACTCTGCTGGATAGTTTTCATAAAGTGTGGGAAATTAAATTTACTTGCAGATTATTAAGAGACTGAATAAATGGAAAGAATGGAAGAAATAGGAGGTTGTCAAAATTTTGCTGTCTTAGTCAGTATGTTTTTCATAATGTGCAGAACAAAATCATCTCTGAGTTTTACTTTAAAGTAAACCCCTGTATTTAGTCATTACCCATCACCATAAAAACCTCAGTTAGGACATTCCAGCTCAGGATATTCCATGAGTCTGTATTTAAGACTCCTACACCATGTTTTTCCAGGCTCAGTGACCTGTGCAGCAGACACCTTCAGCTGCTTGGGCTCCCATGCCTGTGTTCCCCGGCACTGGCTTTGTGATGGTGAGAGAGACTGTCCCAATGGAAGTGATGAGCTGTCCACAGCAGGCTGTGGTATGTTTGCATGTTAAAAAATGTATTTATTTCCTTGGTCCTTTTGCCTTTATAATATCCAGATGCTTTTTGTTTCTGTAGTATTGTACCCTTTTACTGCCAAGATTGCTGCTAAAGATTGATGGCCCACACGTGAGCACACATACCAGAATCCTTTAATGTTTTAATCAGCCTGACACCTTCAGGCTCTCTTAATATATACTGAGGCACACCAGCTGAAGATCAGTATGTGTGTCACGTCATAGACATTATGCAGTATGTTTCCTAATGAAAATTAGCACATTATTAACTATGCAGTTTTGTTGCTCTTCCTGAAGAAAGTACTGCTGCTCCTGTCAGGGAGGTTGTGCATCAAGAAGGGAGATGCAGTACTGTCTTCAATTTATTCTGGCTAATTGTTCAGGTCTTGACAACTCCTGCCCTACAAACTGTTACTTCCAGTCTTCTGAGATACATTTCTATTAAAAGTGTCAGGAGTTCAGTAATAGTTTCATTGAGCTTTTTTTTTTTTTAAATTAACTTATAAAAATGGTATAGAAATATGCTCTATATATTTTGAGTGTTTACAGACTTTAAAGAACATTTGTTCAGGAGCAGAGTAACATAGGAAGGACATCTCTACTTCCCAAATATTCTTTTCCTCAGAAGCAGACCTTAGGCTAGTTGTAGAGAGCATCAACTTCTGAAACCTTTCTGTTTTGGATTACAGGAGATTTTAGCCATCATTATTCCAGCTCTCTGTGGTAATGAGTAGCTTTTTCTGCTATTGAATTGTTTGGTGCTTTTTTATGACTAAACAGCTACAGTTATTTCCATTGAATCCACTCAAACTAACTACTTCTCATTTCATCTCTGTGTAAGAAAATTGGTTGTATATCTTATTGTTCTCAATTTCATTTATTTTTGTGTACTGTATTTTCCTTAGCTCCTAATAACACTTGTGACGAGAATGCTTTCATGTGCCATAACAAAGTCTGCATTCCCAAACAGTTTGTTTGTGACCATGATGATGACTGTGGAGATGGATCAGATGAATCTCTGGAATGTGGCAAGTATAACAAAAATAGAGTAAATACAAAAATTTCAGACTTTTAACTGTAAGGCATTTTTCAGGGTCTGTAGTTTTAAGTCACTATTGAAAAAGAAAGCTCTTCTTTTTTTAATTGTTTTAATTTTAACTTTTAAGTTGTGCATTAATTAATAGAGCTTAATATTTACTTGGATCTGGAGCTACAGTGACAAATTATTTCCTATAGTGTCTTACAGTTGATTGTTAATAACATTTAACAGAATTTAAAAATATACTTTCTAGAATTTCTTGCTTAGTATGTATATCTTTTTTATATATATTTTTAACTTTGTCTCTATGTGTGTTTTTTCTATTAAATAATAAAACGTCTCTGTCGTGATTATCACTGCAGTTAAATGATATCAACTAAAACCATAGATGAATGTTTAATTTTCACTATTCACATGAATTTAGGGTTTCTTATACTATGTGAATATCTATGTGGTATATCTGCACCATACTCAGAAATATGAATCTATAGAAATAATATTTATGGAAAATACAGAGCAATATTCCCTCAAAAAAGATACTTTATTGATTTTTTTTTATCATGAGTGATTTTGTGCCATAAAATCTGTGTTGATTATTTGCTCTTAGATGTGCTCCAAAAATGAGAACCACAGCAGAAAATAGTTGGGTACATGTTTTAGATGTTTCTGTTGTACACACTACTTGTAGAGTGTGTGTGCATGAACGATGAGAGTAGACAACCAGAGATTGTAAGAAAAAGCATTCTTGATGTTTGCATTTAGTAAAATTTCTCATGAGTTGAACATGTAATTTTGGGAACAAAATATAGTGTAGCAAGTACTGTTTTATTTGTTGGTCATATAAAAATTACAGAATCCCAGAATATGGTGTGTTGGAAGGGACCCACAGAGATCATTGAGTCCAACTCTTGACCCTGCACAGGACAACCCCAAGAGTCACACCCTGTGCCTGAGAGTATCGTCCAAACACTCCCTGAGTTCTGTGAGCCTTGGTGCTGTGCCCACTGCCCTGGGGAGCCTTTTCAGTGCCAAACCACCCTCTGGGGGAAGAATGTCTTTCTAATATCCAACCTACATTTTGGGGTTTTTTAATAATCACTTGCTGGTGTATTTAATTTATTTACTATAGCATCACATACATGCACGAAAAGTATACATACAACTTAACATACTGACAAATAAATAGTGTTATTTTGTCTCTTTGGAAAGAGACAGAAGGAGAAAACAACAACAGAAGCAGAAGATCTACAAATTCCTGATCTAATTGTAGTATGGACTTGCCTTCAGGCACTGGTTCTATTTGATTTCCACTGGGCAAACTGAAATCTCCAGCACTGTTTGTTACGTGCTGCACTGCTTCAATGCAATTTTCTGTTAGCTGGTAATCAAATACACACTTTAGTGTGGGACTAGTGTGGTAAACTCGTTATACTCTAATTTTAGGAAAGGGTTCCATTCTTTTACGAGAAAGGGAACTACTGTACAGAGTGGGAGTCCAATTCCCAAACACGCTTCTCAACCTGTTGTCGGATATAAAAATGAACCACCTAATTCATCGAGATTTTAAACTTGTGATTTCTGATTTGACTGCAAACTAGGTAACCTGATCGCAGCTCTGTTTGATTGTAGAGCTAGACCTTTTCCATCTTGATAGCTAAACAACCCAGGTACTCTGCAGCAGCCAGTCTACTTAGTCAGCATGAAATTTAGTTTGAGAGGTATTCCTAAAAACTGAATTAATGGCATATATTTAAAAATCTAAGTTTTGTTATTGTTTGGTTGGGTTTTTTTCTCATTTATATCATTGAAAGACATATTTCTTGTTTTTCTTTTCTAGAGTATTATTCAGAAATAATATAAAAATGGGACTGGCGATTAAAGCAATCAGTTCTTTTATTTATTTTAAAATTAAAATCATTCTAATCCTTGAAAATTTCTTTTGACTCTATTGTATAAACCTGTCTTTTTAATGACTAACAAAAAATAGCAATAACTCAATCTTACTATTCATATGTTTCTCTGTGTGTGGTATCATGACTATACAGTGCATGAGAGACATTTGATTTCTCTCTTTGTTGGTAGGCACTTTTGAATAAGCATGTAGCGTTTTATATGTCTTTATGGAGCGAAAAATACTTTTATTTACATTGCCTCAACATATGCAAAACTTTATGTTGAGGCTATGAAAGAAAATATGAAGTCAGTGGTTGGTGTATTTCCAGGATATCGTCACTGTCGTCCTGGAGAGTTCACCTGTGCTGATGGCAGATGCCTGTTAAATTCTCAGTGGCAATGTGACGGGGATTTTGACTGCCCAGACCATTCTGATGAAGCACCTATCAACACCAAATGCAAAAGTTCAGGTTTGTATTTAATTTTTTGAATGACACGTGTGACCTTTCTTTTTGGAGAGTCAGTGGTTTAAGGGTTGTAGTTGAGCAAATGTAAAACCTAGTAGCTTAAATCTCCGGTGTTTTCATGGTGATATTCCTTATATCTTGCAAGGAGAACGTGTTCTGAGCATCCAAAACCTCAGTCCACAAAATTCAAGCCACAGTTTCCTATGGCGTAAGATGGCAGATAGTTCCTTGATATATAAATCCTGCTAATACTAAAATAAGATTATACTAATGTAATAATTGCCAGATTTTCTCTCTTGCTCTGAAAATGTTTACTGTGTTTAAGATATTTATCACACAGAAGCAGATCATATGAAAGGGGATGTAAAGTTTCTCTCACTATAAATAATAAACACTGGTTCAATTTTATCAGCAAATTATTGACCAAATGCAATTGATTTTATAGATATTTTCTACTCACATTAATAAGTTGGCCGAGGTCTGACTGGTTTTTGAGAGGGAAATTAGTCCTGGTCTGCACATGTTATTCTGTTTGATGGCTTTTTCAAAGACCAATTCTTCTGTCTATGCCTTAGGATTTTATTGCACTTTATCCCGGTCCTTTACATCAATTTTGATGGAAAACGCTAATTTGGTTTGAGGTGAGGCAACATACCTGCCTTATATGCAAGTGTTCCTGTTGTGATTTGAGGGATCTGAATGCAGCTGAAATGATGAATTCAAGTTTTGTCAAAGAGGGAAAAACATATATACATATCATTAGACAAGAAATGAATCAGAATTCAGTCAGTCATGTTACTAAACACCTCAGCATCCACAGGGGAGAGAAACCATGCCTTTTAACTTTTGTGAACTGTAGAACTGTATTTTGTGCCAAGATAATGTAGAGGATTCTCCATTATATGAAAACAAATATGTAGGAGGGAGTAGTAAGTTGAAGTCTTCACACATTTTCCAAAAGAGGAATAACCTTTAAAGAAAATGAAAATTCAAAAGATATTATAATGCTGTCAATACAGAATAAATATTCAATTTTTACACAATTATTTCATCTCACATGCACACATAGCAGCAGATCCATGAGAAAATTAATTCCAAATACTAATAGATGACACCAAGTTGTTGCTCTCTTTTTTTTTTTTTGTTTTCCAGAGCAGTCATGTAACAGCTCTTTTTTTATGTGCAAAAATGGCAAGTGCATTCCTCAAAGTGATGTTTGTGATAACAAAGAGGATTGTAGTGATGGGTCTGATGAGAAAAGCTGCCACACTAATGAATGCCTCAGTAAGAAAGTTAGTGGCTGTTCACAGGATTGTCAGGATCTTCCTGTTGGATACAAGGTGAATAATTACAAAATGTGGTGTAATATAATGCAAGTTTTTAGTTCTTAAATGTTTAACTACTGTGTGATTATAATAAAACTCCACTATGTGGTAATTCCTTGTAATAAAGTAGCTTACCTATCATAATAAGAACATTCAAAGTTTTATTTCCTGTAAGGAAACAATTGTCAATGATATTTAAGAAATGGTGGAATATATAATTTAAACCTTTGGAAAAGATAACATACAATGCTTAAAATACAACAAATCATACTGATATATATACAGAGCACTGAAAATCATTTTTAAAAAAGGAAAATACATAGCAGTGAATAGCAGGAATAGTGGTTTTCTCCACTTTTTTACAGGTAGTTATTAATTACAGAAATATTTAAACAAAGTAAAATCACCTTAGAAACAGAATAAACCTGTTAGTTGTCTGCATGTGAGGGTGTTTTCTGGGATCTTTGCCCACTGCAAACTAAATAAAATCTGTCCAACGTGGCTTAACTTTAAAAATATTTAAACCTCTGAAACTGTGTCCTAGGCAGGAGGCCATAGACTAGAGAGCTGGAGATACAGAGATTACAGGAGGGAACATGTAAATTCCCTGTAAACCATATAAACAACAATGTAATTAAGATGTTACTTGAAAAAATGAGATCCATAAAAAGTTTATGATGCTAAGATATTCAGTAGAAAGTACACAAGATGATAAACAGAATCAATGAGAAATTAAACTTGAATGTGTTTGGTTTTCTTTCCCAGTGCAAATGCTGGCCTGGATTCCTCCTGAAGGATGATGGCAAAACGTGTGTAGATATTGATGAATGTTCATCTGGATTTCCCTGTAGCCAGCAATGCATCAATACATATGGAACCTACAAATGCTTGTGTGCAGAAGGGTATGAAATACAACCTGATAACCTCAATGGCTGCAAATCCCTGTCAGGTATTACTATTTAATTTTTTTATAATCCACAACTGTATCCAAAATAATTTGTGAAAAACCTTAGCCCCAAGGTCTTTGTTACCTTTCTATGCAAGATAAACAAAGCTACTTTGACTCTCCTACCTCTTCAGTATAAAATAGGAACATTATTCAATATCTGAATGTAATAAGTTATATTTTTAATATATATTGTTCTCAGATCATTTGTAGTAGATACAGTGGATCATGAAAGTTTGAATTAATAACTTTATTAGAAAAAGTATTAAGAAAGTTAAAATGCATCACTTAGTTCTACTTCTGAGTCACATGATAACAATATGATTATGATAAGTGTTAAAAAGATTTCTGGTTTCTTAAGAATATTAGAATGTACATCAAACTTCATGTGAAAAGAAGGAGCAGGAAAAGTAATAGAAAATACAAACTCAATTATTCTTATAGCATATGAAATCCTTCAGTCTTATATGTGTTACACAGTGAAACTCAAGATATGTAAGAGCACTGGTTATTTCCTCACCCCTCTGATGTTATTTTTATGTACCTCAGTGAGTGGGATTGGCTGGATCAGTGAAAGGAAAAGCAAAATATCAACAGGAAAGGAACAGAAACCTATTGGTGGATTCTGCTGGGTTTCCTTCACAGCCCAGGCAATCTTCCAGTTTTCTTTCTAAATGACAAGAAGGCTGGAACCTCTGTCTGCCTCATAATCCAGTTTCAGGTGCTTCCCTGAGCAAGCAGAGGAAACACAAGAGAGGGCAGAAATTCCACAGCTGTTTTTTTTGTTCTATTCCTGTCTCCCACCTTGCAAGCCACCTGTACATTTAGAAGCTATAGATCACTCAGATGAGAAGGGAAGCTAAGGCACATCTTAGAAGTGTTTTTTTGGAGTGGTTAATACATCAAACTTGAGAAGTGGTCATGACAAAGCTGTGAGTGCTGTGCAAGGATGGCTCTGCTGCAAGGAGATGCCAACATGGGCACGTTTGGCCTAATGCTGATTTTTTTGCATAAATTGCCTTGAAGCCTTTACACCAGAGCAGAGCATTGCAGCCATTCTCCACATACCACCAGCAGTCAGGGCTGAGGATGATGCATCAGGTCATTTATGTCTTAAAAGTTGAGCATAAAATGCAAATATGTTCAGTACAAGAGCGGAGTAGGCTGGGCAACACATTACATTCTAGAATGTATAAGCAATAGATACAAGACCTTTAATACATTTTAAATTATCATTGGTAATATTTTCTATTTTTTTAGTTGAGGTCTCTCTTAATAGAGCTAAAATAAAGACAGCTTTAAAAAAATATTATTTTTACTATTATGTATGCCAGTGTGAGAGATATGTCAAAGTAAGTGACGTCAGGAATGAGTATCTGAAGATAATTTTTTTTTATATAAATTAGAAATCCGGGGTTAAAAAAGTCAAATCTAGCTTCGGTTCAGAATTAGAGAATCATGGTTTTTACAAATAGCTGTTTCTTTATCACCAGACTGTCCAGAGTATTGAAATCTCAAAAAACAATGGTCAAAACATGCTCAGTTTGCAACCATAACAATTAATAGTCTTAGCGATAATTTAAAATTAAATGTTGACATTAAAACGTATGGAATTAAATTTAAATTTAATCTCTGACATTAAATTAGGATAAAATACAGTAATGGTTCCCACGTTGCAAAGGCAAAAGAATTAAATTACATTGAAAGATATACTAATTGATTGCTTTGTTCATTTTTATACTGCATCATTGATCTTTCTTGGAACATTTGAATGTTTTAAATATTTCTTTCATCCATAACATTGATCAGAGCATGTAACATTTATTTTTCAAACCATCTGTATTTCAGCATTGTATTCCTGATTTTCCATAAATTAACGTAAAGCTAGTCTAATATATTCTTTTTCCCGGGGTTTAGATGAGGAACCTTTCTTAATTCTGGCTGATCATCATGAAATAAGAAAAATTAGCACTGATGGATCCAACTACACTTTGTTGAAACAGGTATAATCATAGTACCATGCTCTAAGTTTAACTCAATACTTTTATTCTTTTCTAAAGTGTGCAACTGACAGAAACATCATCCTACAATTGGCGTGAGCACCACAGAACAACTGCAGTATCTTCAGAGTTGTTGTAATACTTTAAATTGACTATTTTGTCTGAATTTGACAACATTAAAGCTCAGGCAGTTGTTTCGTCAGTCATTCTGATGTACTAAAAAATTATGTTATTTGTGATCCTCTTTCATCCCAATATGTTTTGCTCAATTTGTAAATTCCAGTAAAAAACCCAAGCAAAACAACAAAAAACCATTTGGCCATGTATTATTTGGGCTGCTTACTGTCACAATCTAAATCTATTTTTTAGACAGACAATCCCAAGATTTATGTTATAGCAATACATGAACTTATATCTTTAGCTAAATCTATTTTTTAAGTAATTACTCTAAATTATTATAACAGGCAAAAAAATGTAGGAAAAAAACCCAAAAATAGGATCTCACCCAGTAAATACAGAGCTGACATTTTTAGCAGTTTCTGCTCTTCTTCTGTGCTTCACCTAAGTGTAGTTACTTACCACAGATTAGATTTCCAAAATATTTTTAATAAAAATATCTATTTCCTTGAATAATATTCAGTCATTGTAGTAAGACTAGGAAATTATTTAGTACCTGTTAATATAATTAGGCTCTTTGTGACTTCCTGTGTCAGTAAGCTGTGCACCCTAATGTCACAAGAGACGTGCTTAGGTCTTCACAACAGTAATTACAAAATTACCATCTTGCATTAAACATTGGCTTTATTTAAGCATAGAAAATGTTATGTTAAAGTCTGTCTGTTCTTCTGAAATCCTTCTGTCTCCCTCTCATTTCCATCTCACTGCCTCTCCCCTCTTTTGCTGGTGTATCTGTTAATGGAAGCCTGTGGAAAGAGGGGAACAAACAGTAAATTTTCTTGATGGTCGGTGCTGACAGATTGTCTCAGGGCATCATCAGTCTTCAATTTAATGGACTCCTCTTCAGTGCATTAGAGACCACATAGCTCCAGCCACTGAAGAAAATCTATGTTTTCCATATCACATTAATTCACTGGTCTGATAAATACCTCTGCTATTGAACCTACTGGCCTTTGCTCCTACAAATACAGCATTTGATTTGAAAGCTGAAGAGGAGCTATACCAACAGAACCACACATGGAGTTGTCTCCCTCAGCAGGACATCTTTGTGTCCTTATGATGTTAGGATAGATTGACTCTTTCCTGGACATCTACCAGACAATGGCAAATACCAGAGTGGCTCTGGCAGAGGAGCAAACCCACCTTTCTTTTTGTGTATTTGGTCTGTGCTTTACCATTCTAACAGTTGTTCATATAAACTCAGAGTAAAGAAGCTGAAAGCAGGAGCTCATTCAGTCTTCTCTGAGTTATGTGCCAGCTTTTTCCCTCTATTTTCTTTTTTTTTTTTCAAATATACATAAACAGTACAACTGTTTGAATTGTGTCTCATGTATGTTCTTTGCTTTCCATTTCCTTCACTCCTAGTCATCAAAATCATTAGGGTTTCCATAAGCAGAGTAGATAATCTTCCTCATTATTTGGGATTTTTATCTGTTTTTTTAATTGGGGCAGGCACCAAGGGAACACATATCACAGCCTGTGCTATATGCAACAGAAACAAATACACAGGTTTAAGATGAGAGACTAATGCAGCTGATGCCATTTGAAATCTTCCCTATTCCTTCCAAAAAGCAGATTGCACATGACGTGACGAAGAATTATGTTAGAAGGACTTAAATGACATCTCAGAAAGAGGAGATGATGTCTGGACAGAGAACTCTATTACAAATGTACAGAAATATTTTACCTGAAATTGATGTTCTGATAAATATTGAAACTAACTGACCCAAAATAAAACACTTGAAACCAAAGACGTGCCAGCAGTCAATTCTTTTTATTAGTCTGGATCCTTAGGAAACTTTTACAGTGTCATAGAACATATAGATATAAGACCAGTTTTTCAAAAATTGCTGACTTCAATTCCTAGAATGTCATAGAATTGTATTAAATAGTATTTTGTATTCATTCACCTGTTGTCTCCTTGTTTAAGAATTTGGGGTTGGGATTTCTCTATAGGTACAATTATACTAATAGTAAAAGAGACAGGACAAGTGTTTTGCAGCATAGTTATGACTGACAGAGCTGCAGCTGCTTTTGATAAAACACTGCATACATAGGTATGGGATTTTTGAAAATGAGTGGTCCTCCAACCCTGTATTGTTTCAGGCTTACTCTAATGATGATTTGTGCATCCTAATTGCTCTTTTTCTCTACATTTTGATCAAGAGATAGATTTACAGTAATTACACAGTGGTAGATGGCAGATAAGCCGTGTATCAAGTTTCTGTGCAATTAAATATTGTTGTTCTTAGTTGTTTATTTTAGAACTGGCTGGTCCAGCACATCCCCTTTACAGGGATGAATTACATTCACGAGGGAGGTTGCTGATCCACCTGAGAGTAGAATGTCACGGGGCTGATAAGGGGATTGATTAACTGATATTGCAGTTTTAAAAGGAGTACAAACAGCTTCCGTTCTTTTTACCACTGCTGCTCCATATTTCATTGATAACATCTTGGTATATTAAGAATAATTGTAATTTCACTACATGTCAGGACGTTAAGCAGGTTATGGGGCAGATAAGGAAATAAGAGCCCTCGTCTGAATGCAACCCCCTTCCTTCTTATCTGCCATTTGGGATGAAAAGCCATTATTATATGATTGCTCTTTCCAACCTAGTGGAGTAAGGAGTAGCTCAGATATGATCACTACTCTTTCTTAAAATGTATTGGTGTTGTAATTGGAGCCATAGGAGACTCCCAGATGCCTGCTGGATCTCTGGCTTTCACACTTCATGTATATATTACGTCTGTGTCTGTGTGTATATATACACAGTACCTATAACATAATGTGTAAATAGTCAAAATCTCTTTATTTAGGAATTAAAATAAAAATTTTTTGAAGACCACTATTTTGAATTCCTGATTAATTTATATTTCTAAGGAATTTTTTTCGTTACTTAAATATCATAGATATTATACTATTTCTGTTTCTCTCATCTAATTTGCCAAAGAAATGCCAAAGGTAGTAATGAACAGAGAAATTGAGCAAAAGTCAAAGTGTTTAGTGCTAAACTTCATTTTAATAATAGTAAAGAAAAAAACCAGAAACTTCCCTTAGCCTCATACACCATCTGCATTTTTGAAGTGAGACGGTTCTTTGTCACCATTTATTTATGTTACAATCTTTATTTTATGCTGATTTTTCACAAGTAATATATAGAAAAATGAGGTAATTGCTTCACAAATATACAGTCAGTAAAATAATGCTTTTTGAGTATTAAATGCAACGTATATTTTATTCTGAATGTTATCCAGTGGTTTATATTCAAACATTTGAATAAATAGACTTTTTTTTTCCCTATTTTTAGGGGCTGAACAATGTGATTGCAGTAGACTTTGACTATAGAGAAGAGTTCATCTATTGGATTGATTCCAGCAGACCAAATGGCAGTCGCATAAACAGAATGTCTTTAAATGGAAGTGACATCAAGGTAATTGGGGATTAATAATGTTACTACTAGAATTAATTTTTTTTTTAATATTTTGGGAAATACTCCTGCTTGTTTTTAACCCAGATTGTGAGGCTTTGGTGTATGAATACAAACACAGCAGGAGTTAGCAAGTCCTAGTAAAACTTAATTGCATTTATATCTTATTTGAAGTAGCGATAGGGACTAAGAGAAGTGTATTTAGGAACTAAATTCCTTATAACTTATTTGACAGTTGACTGAATTGGCAGTTCCATGTGGTTTACTGGATGCCAAATTAAAAAGAGCTATAAATAGGTGTTAAGCTGTGGAAATACATTGGTGTAATTCTTCTTCTAAATTTTTTAATGGTCTTTAGGATTTTTTTGTCTCACCTTCACTACCCTGACAGTGAAAACAACTCCATGTCTTTGCTGTGAATAATCCGGGCTAAAACTGCACCCCCCCTTTCCCCACATCCTGTCTGTTCTGCCTCTGTAGTGGATTAAGTTCACAAATCCACTATTAAGCACATTTGTTGACTTATGTGAACGTTTTTTCCAGCATTGGTGATAAGCAGTAAGGAATCCTTCGTTTATTCTATTATGTCTGACCTTCTGAAACATGGAGTAGATGAGCAGTAACATACCTTGTAAATTTTGCTCCCTCATTGTGCACCAATAAATATGCAGAGAGAAAAGATTTCTTCTGTTTTTCATTTGCAGCTTAGTGCATGGACTGAAACATCCTCAGAGCACATTTTTTGAAGGCTAGGTTTGAAGCTCACAGGTACCAGTGAACCTTAAGAACATAATTTGTGGCACTCTGATGCCCTGGGGGTAAAACTAAAATCCAGCATCTAGTCAGAAGTTCTAGTGAGTCCCTGCAAAGAGGTTCAAAATCCATTAAATTCTTGAATCATATTTAATGCCTTTAAACAATTTACAAAGCATCTCTCCATTCTGGATGAAATTGTGTTATGCTGTTTTAGGACTGGGGATGACCTCAGATTTTTTTATTTCTAATCTTAACTATTCCAATAAGAATTTTTCCTAGTCAAGAAGTTGTAATAACCAGGAGGGAGAAAAAAAACCAAACAACTGACCAAACCTCCTATTGCTATGATTTAATAACTGTTTAATTTTTTAAGGAAAGATTTCAGAAATTTGAACAGTATAAGAAACAATTAGGATGGGAACATATAGCATATTTCTTTTTTCCTTCATTATAATTTTGCAGTTTACAGGACAAATGTCATATTGATGGAGATTTTGCTCAAATATGCTAATGTAAAAGCAAAAATTATGAAAATAAATGCATTTAATTTTATACAAAAATTTGGTTTTTTCTCTGTAAAACCTGTACCACATTTGGCCTCTGAAAGCTAAAAAAACATGCAAGAAATTATGAAGAATTATATGTTGTAGCTGTCTAATATTCTATCAGTCATCTTTTATCCAAAATGATAATTTTATACCTCTCTGACTTTCTAATAGCTCACCAAAGGATATATTTAGTAATTGATGTTATTAAAATTAAATTATTTCGAATTAAATTATTATAATTATTTGCTTAATTATTTAAAGATTTATGGGTTTTGTTATCCAGAAAACCTGTTTACATATTTATTTATTTTTTTGTCATGAGAGTTTTTATGGTTGATAGACTTTTCCCTTGAAGTATGAATTTCTTATTTTACTACCTTCATACTTCCTGTGTTACTCTTTACTATAAATAGATCTACTATCAGTGTAAATGATCCTGTTTGATACATTGTCTAGGATTTCCCTTTTAGGAGATGACATCTTTTCAGCACACCAACTCTGGCTTTCTTGCCCTGGGCAACCTGATGGCACCTCATTTTTCTTCTTCATCTGATCGTGGAGGAGATATTTATAGAATTGAAATGACAATGTTTTCACATAGATGTATTCAGACATTAAAACAGTATTTTATGTATAGTGTTGTAGATGCAAATGTTATTGGAAAATGCTGCAGGAAGCTGGATTGTGCACGTTAAATGTCATACTGGTGATCTCAGCGACTGGAATAAGCTTGAAGTGACTCTGCAAAGGAAAAGTCATCAGAAAACAGACTAATTACTCTGGTTGATGCTGTTGTGCAGTGTTTAGGTGTTGTAGATAAACCACTGAATTTGCTGTTATCCATTTCTACAGGAAATGTCCCATGTTACAGTGCAGCAGTTGCTGCAATTACACATTTATAAACCAGTGAAGCTGGTACTGGGAAAGTATTAGAAAACAAAATATTTTATTCATATAAAAAAAAATCTGTGCATGCCTGAATTTTATTTTTAAACTAGATTTGATAACATGATAAATAATGTAACAACCTGAAAAGGTGGGTTTGAATATTCATAACTATAAAATGGATTTAAAGTATCTCACCATATCCATTCTTCTCTTGAAAATTTTCAGTATCTTCAAATGGTAAATAAAATTAAAGCTAACACATTCAATTGTACATAATCAGGTTTATGGCTGATAGGCTAAAAGCACATGCTTTTAGTGCTGAAGATGACAATAAATAATGTACAGCACAGTAGTAAACCCATTATTAGTACTTAAGAAATCTCAAATATTTTCAAGAACTGCTTTCTGTTTTGTGGTTTTCTGAAGTTCTAGTTACTCAGACCCAATCAAACCCTAACCAGGAACAGAATAAGTCAGAATAGACCTTCTCAGGAATAGAATTTTCAAGCCTAGAATAAGCTGGCCTCAAATGTTTGTGAATTTTCTAATATTACTCAACACTTGACATGAAATACTCCCAGCCAAGCAAGACAGAGTCAGACAGTCATGATGAGATTCATGATCACATATATCCAGAGGAATTTGTTCAAGTTTCAGAATTATTCAAGTCTTCCAAAACCTCAAGAATAACATATCCCTGTGGGCAGAGCGTGGGCTTTCCAGTAGGTGACTAAATTACTCCTATCTCCTGAATCATGTAGTCCTTTTGAAATTTAACTAATTCTTTTCAAACTCCTCTTTCTTCTGCCACACGAATGTTGGAAATAAGAGCACACTGTTTACTTTCCAACTAGTAACCTCTTCCTGGAACTCAGCTGAGTGCTCTTATGGTCTATCTGTCACAATGACATATGGTACCACTGTGATATTAAAATGAAAGATATGCTGATGTAGGGCAGTGAGAGAAGTGGGGAGCTGAGAAGCAGATGTGTTTGAGGGCACACTGTGGGGAGAGAAGCCTCATCTCCGTTCTGCTCTCTGGAAAGAAAAACTAAACTAGTAATGGGGAAAAAAGTTGTTTGTTTGCTTGTTTGTTTGTTTGTTTGTTTTTACATGAAGAGAAAACTAGAAGCCTAAGATGAAAAACGAAAAGTCCAAAATTTGTAGAACTTGGTGCATAATACAGAGAAGCTGGGAATTTGCTATTTACTTCATCGAAGTATTCTCCCTTCTCCCTTACTATAAGGAAAGTGTCACACTATCTTAGTTCCTTAAGAAGTGTCATTACTTGGGAAGTGTCAATATTTAACAGTGAGTAATACCCATTTTTCACAGGGTATGTATGTAGCTGTATTGAATATCCAGCCTCTCAATATTCTGGTATCAGTAACTCTTGAGTTGTTGTTCCTTTCCCCAGTATTTAGATGAATAATTTATGTAATTTTTACTTTTCTAGGTAATCCACAATACAGCTGTTCCCAATGCACTGGCTGTCGATTGGATTGGGAAGAATCTCTATTGGTCTGACACTGAAAAGAGAATTATTGAGGTGTCTAAACTCAGTGGTTTATACCCAACTGTCCTTGTGAGCAAGAGGGTGAAGTTTCCCAGAGATCTCTCCTTAGATCCTCAAGCTGGGTATGAAGAAGCCAATTTGCAGTAATTTGAATTTAATCCTAACTTGATGTTAAAATATTTTTTTGTAAAAAGTAGACAGAAAATACTAATTAATGTTTATCATCTAACTTTCAGCTACACTGGATATCAGTAGCCTGAATGTGTATTACCAATGCTTACTATATCATCACTACTTATAAAATTGGTATGATGATAACTGGTATAAACTATCTACTATTTTTAAGATGAAAGGCATTTTCTACTGGTTCTTAGAACTAGAATTTAATTTTCTTGTAACTGAACCCTTTTTTTCCCTGTCAAATTTGGTAGGGAGCATACAGATCTTTGTTAAATATACTCAATATACCAAAACATGGGTTCTCCCTTTGATTACCTGGGCATCCAGGATATGTTCCCTGTGTATGCAGATATCAACCTACAAAGTTCGTATGGAGACTCCCAGTTTTTCAGGAAAGTTTATATGTATATATATGTATATATATATATATATAGGCATAATAAACTTACTTGGCTCCTTTTCAGTGTGTACAGATTTAGATCTGAGGCCAAGCTGTCTTAATATCTTTCTTAAATAAATTTATGTATTTGTTTATGATATGGCAAGCTGCTGAAAAATATATCTGTGTTTTTATTTCAAATTCAGAGTTATTATTTGAAACAATATTAATTTTATCTTATTTTTTTCTAACAAAGGAGAAATGCATAATCAATTACATTGCTGATGCTGTGCAAGAGTAACGACATATTTCCAAACAAAATGTGTCCTGTTGGAGTCAGTGGAGAAAGATCCCTTTCTCTGCTGTTTATGTGGAGTATGGTGCCAGCATATTGCACCTGTGGCTGCTCTTAGGACCACTATTTCCTCCTGCACACAAATACAATTCCAGGTGGTTATTAAGAGTGTGAGCTGCATCTGGGTTTTGGAAAGCCTGTCCAAAACCTGTAGAGTAGAATCGTATCAGCTTCCCAGCTGGAAAGATCTGTCCTGAGGTTCTGAGTAATGGCACACAACAGTAGCAACTGCAACCATGTACTAAATAATAGGACTTTTTTCTTTCTTTATGACAATTGTGCTCTGCATTGTGGTTAAATGGCATATTGAGGAAAAAATTGCTCCTCAGCGTTCCAACAGCCTCTCTCCGTGTTTCACCCATTTTTAAGCTCTCTATGTGAGAAACTGTTCTAATGTTCTGGCACTAGTACTTCTTAAAGCAATATAATTTCATTATATGACAAAGAAAAGTAAGTGTAACACCATATTTCTGATAAATTTAGTAGTGATGCCATTTATGCAAGATTTGAGATTCACAGAGTCCAATTTGGGTAGTATTTAAAATTCTAAGGTATCAAGACTGAGCAATTTAAATGCACTTTTTATTAGTCCATAATTAGTTTAGTAAAATCACACCTAACATGAGGACTCTCCTATTCAAACCCTTTACAATTAACACACTTATTTACAGGCAGATCTAGAAAAATAAAAAAAAAATCTGGAAAGTCAAAATATTATAGAATAATTACCGATTTATTCCTGAGATTGAATAAATATATTAATCATGGAATCACAGAATGGTTTGGGTTGGAAGAGACCTTAGAGATCATCTGGTTCCAAGCCCTCTGCCATGGGCAGGGATGCCATTCACTAGATCAAGTTGCTCAGGCCCCCCATTCAACCCACTGAACACTTTCAGGGGTGGGGCATCCACAGCCTCTCTGGGAAATATTTATTGTTATTATTCAGCTGTTGTGCTTTCTTTTGCAGATACTTATACTGGATTGATTGCTGTGAGTACCCTCACATTGGCCGTGTTGGGATGGATGGATCCAGACAAACCGTTATCATAGAGACACAGATATCCAGACCTATGGCTCTTACAATAGATTATGTCAACCACAGGCTGTATTGGGCTGATGAAAATCACATTGAGTTTTCTGACATGGATGGATCTCACAGACATAAAGGTTGGTCACAGTTTGTTGGATTTTTTTTTTAATTTTGATAATTTTCAAATCAAAGGTGCTTTCTGTGTTGTGCGTAATTACATAAAAGCTGTCCTTTAAAATATCTTTGCAACATTTTTGGGGACATTATGTTCCTTTTACCAATATTTTAAAAGTCTCTGTTCATTTTTCCTCTCTGTTATAAATAGGAATAGTTTTTAAGCATGCAGTAATACATACCTGTGGAAAAAATATCTAACGGAAACTCTAGGAACAGACTCAGCAATCTGAGACACCCCTGTCAATATTATACCCTGGTATAAATATTCACATGTTCTCTATCAAGATATAGAGTGAAACTTGGCTGTTAAGACTGGAAGGGATATATCCTGTGTGCCATATGTCAGAATATGGCTAAAATCAGCCTTTTCTCCAGCCTCAGAAAGGCTGGACGTGTCCATTATTCTGTTCAGCATGAGACCAGTATTGCAAATCTAATTTGGGGCTTTCCTGGTAGATGGGTGAAATAATAACTTTTGAAATACTTATGTAATTAAGTAATCTCTATCCTTATGTTTTACTTCTCACCTGACAGATAATTAAAAAGCTCTTGTTATTTATCTATGAAGTATTCTAAAAAAAAAAAAAAGTTTTACACTATGATGAATAGTTCTCATATTCCAAATTGTATAATTAAAGATCTTTCATTTTAATTTAAATATATGAAATAATACCAGTCTACTGAGTTTTTTTGGGGTTTCTTTTTGAGAAGAAACCGTTACCTGAGCTCCCTTCCACAAGGTTTGCCCAAACCTCAGAACTGCTGCTATGCTGGTAAAATTTCGTGGATTTGCACTTTTTTAGGCTTTTATCTCCTACTGGGTGCCTCCAGGTTTTCTCCAAACCAGAGTATATGAAATAACTACTTTATTTTCAGATTGATGCTTAACTGTGAAATGAAAAAAGCAAAACAACCAGTTTTCTAGCCCTAATACTCGTGAATAGTAAGTGATAAATACATCATGAATAATTCAATGAGAGTTATTTGAGATGGTAGATTGGAGAGACTATAGCAGTAGCTATGAGAGCTGTAAACATTCCTGTTAATCTCACCATTAACTTCTGTGTTTTTTGGGGCAAACACTGGTCAGTCATAACCTGCTCACCTGAGCAGCACTGGCTCAGACATATCCCCAGATGCCAGCTGGATTCCCGCTGACTGTCTCTTTTTCTGGCAGATGAAGCAAAGCTCCGTACTCCTCTTGACGTTATTCCCTGTGCTGCTATCCTGCTATTTTTTTCCTCATACAATTTTCCTTAGTCTTACTCCTGGATCTTTCAAAGGAAAGAAGTAAATCATAGCCACTGTGTCTCTCAACCCTAAACTGACTGCAGTGGTCAAACTTTTCTCAATCTTCCTTTTCAACCTTTTCAATTCCTCCAGAATTTTTCTTTCTCAGAAAATGCCATCCTGTCACTAAATTCAGATTATCTGCAAAATTCTAGTCATGCTGTCTTTGGTGTCCATTGCCTTACTCTCCAGCCTGTGGGTTTCTCTTACCCAGGTGGTAAAAATCAGTTTCAATTGCTTTATATTCCCAGAGTTAATGTCTTACCCTGAGGATATGTGACCCTAGAGAAGAAGGAAATTTGTCACAATACCACAACAAATTTATCCAAGTTTGGTACCAGTGAAATATGTGAGGCAAGCTCCAAAAGTGATAGTGACTTTGTGGAAGCCTGGTATCACACTACTTTTGAGGACATGTCTGTTTTAAGTCCAGATGGTATATAAATATTCAAGCAATAAGAAACACACTTTGGGAAAAACATCCTGAGGTATTTAAATGATGTAGGAGCAAGATATTCTCCTTAGCTAATCAGTATGAGGTTGGAAGGGACCATTTGGATCATTTGATCCAACGTCTTTTTGGCAGAAGCACAATCCAGATAAGTTGGCCCAGCACCCTGTCCAGCTGCATCTTAAAAGTGTCCAGTGTTGGGTAATCCATCATTTCCCTGGAGAGACTATTCCAATGTCTGATAGTTCTCACTGTGAAAAATTTTCCCATTGTGCCCCAGGTGTAACTTATTCCTATCACCCTTTGCCTTTTCCATGTGACTCCTTGTAGAAAGGGAGTTTCCTCTTTTTGTAGCCACTTTTTAAATGCAGGAATATGGTGATGAGGTCTCCTCTCAACCTTCTGTTCTCAAGGATGAACAAACCAAGTTCTCTCAGCCTTTCATCACATGGCAGCTTCCCAGGGCTTGGATCATTTCTGTGGCCTTTCTCTGGATCCTTTCCATCCTGCCTACATCTAATGCCATTTTTTTAATTTCTGTTATCAGGAGTTCCACTCAAAATGTAATTAACAAAAGTTAGTTTGTGTAGAAAAGTTTCTGTGGATTTAACAAATAAGTGATAGAATTCTTGGTGTCTGAACAGTATTCCTGTGGGTTGTCCAAATGGAGCTTTGGGAAATTTGCAAAGCTCCTGTGTAATGATCAATTTGTCTTTAATCAGATTCTTGTCCCTCCTTCCCTCCTTCTCCTGAACCAAGTACCAAATAGATGTTTAATGTCTTCATGTTTCAGCACAAGACTAGAAATATTTTGGAAGATGAAATTTAACCATTATAAATTAATTATCTTAATAAGGGAAACTCAGGGAAGTTCAGTGGTGGGTGTATAGAGGAAGTAAAACTGTGATCCCATCTAGCTTTCTAATATCTGTAATCCATGTTGATAAGCACTTAAATGGGAGAGATTAGGTTTATATCTTATGATAACTGTGTTTCTTGAAGATACATTGTTAACATGGATTTCATGGTCTATTTTTCTTTGTCATTTTGAAACTCTTTGCATTATTAAAGTTAATAAAGGATGGTTGAGTTTATTCTAACCTTTGTGTTTTCAAGTAGAAAAGTGTAAAGGCACAGATATTGGGACCATAAAAAACATGCTCATGGATCAGAGAAAAAAGTCAGAATGAGACTCCTGTGAATTATGTAATCTGAACTGCTATTTATGACAAACTAAGTATTTTTTCCCCTTTTTCTGTGACCTTTGAGGATAAGGCTAGCTTGCTATAAGGTGGTTTTTTTTTTCTGAGAATATGATTTCTGCATCTTAAGTTACCTGCTGCAAAATGTATCAGAAACTGCCACAGCAAATAAGTAGGGTCTCATGACCCTACTTATGTAGGATGGCTGGATTTTGTATTATTAAGAGATATTATGGTATGAGATAGAGTGTAGTGTTCTTTGCTTTACATTAGATACTTGAGGACAGACCCAACAATTTTAGGCTAATTACTGACATGCTGTATGTTAAACCAAGGAGTGTTTATTCCATACAGTGGGAGTTTATATGTATTTAGATCTTAGTGTTAACACTTTTTTTCCACTAGTTTTTAAATTATTTTTTTTTACAAACCTTAAAGCTTTTTCAGGAGAAAAGAACATCTGCTGCTTTTCTCCTGTAAAGTTCCTCTGCATTTCAATAGAGAAATGGGCTTTTATAATTACCAAGAGAGTCCTGGTAAGAACTTTGAAAACATGCTAACTAGGCCAGAAATCTTACAGTACTTGGGAGCTCTTCTTGGTGCTGGGGGCAGCAATGACCTTGCTTAGCTATTTGAAGTTTAATGCTTGGTTATGTAAACTGTCTTTAGAGCTTAGCCAATTCAGCACTGCAGCATTCACAAATGTTATGCACTGTAAATGATTAAGCAGGTATTGAAGCACTAATCTGGTTAAGCACTAAGCTGGTTTACTTATGTGGGCTTTTTTTCTTTAAAAAAACTACATTTAAGAATTTGTCAGACTTAGCTGCTTTTGGTTCTCACTGCCCAGAGGAGATGCAGGCTTCACAATTCCCCAGGTATCTAGATGGTTCGTGCAGGTTTTCCTATCCTTCAGAGCTCTTAAACCTCAGAGCTGCCTACCATTTCCACATTTCACTTTGAAGATGAGAATTTCAGTATAATGAAACTGTAAAAGGGAAATCTGATAGTCCGGTTTAAGAAGTACAGAAGCTTCTCTGAGCTGAGATTAGTCCTTGAACTCTGTCAACTTCTTTACTGCTTTATACTGTAAAAACAAAAGTTGAGCATTTCATTGCTTCATCTGACAGGGGCATGAAAAAGAAGCAATGAAAAAGTGTTGAGCTTTAAATAAATCAAATATTCATAAATTACTTTAGCTGTGATGCAGTTAAGAGAACAACTTTCCTACAGTATCTCAATTTGAAAAAACCCAAACATTTTCTTCAAAATTACATTCTTCCTGAGTATTTGCAAACTTTAGAATTAGTGGATATATGTGCAAGTTTTGAAGAATCAAGTTACGAGGGTTTTGGAGATTAAAACCTCTTTCAGTTTTAGCACCTGTAATTTGAAAAAATGCTAATTGTAAGGACTTTGTAGGTAAAAAGTGTTTAATTCTGAACTCTGCCACCACAGTTTTATAAAAGAATAAATCCAGTTATTTATAAATTGTCCTAATGGTGAAGTAATCTAAAAGCTTATAGAAACCAATTCCTTCTACATTTATACTGGAAGAAGTCCAGTTTGAAAAGAGGGTTTCTCATAGCAGATAAGAACTAGTTCTGATATGGCAACAATTTTTTCCCAACCTTTGAGGAATGTATGGAAATTAGTCATTGCTACACCTCCACTATTGCTTCCTAGATTCAGTTTTCATAATTGTTCCAATAAAATTCTCCAATCCATATGTATTCCTACATCTGATTATTTTGTTTTGTTGTGTTCTTTCTCCTTTAAAGGATAATATTCAGGAAAAAATACTCAGATTCACCTATATTAAGGGCAGTTCACATAGTTACATTACTCTAAGGTTCCACAGTCTCCAGTTTCTGCAGACCAGTTTATGAAGATTGCAACTGGTTTCTCTATGTTCCACTGTTCTTGTGCCAATATGCCCAAATTGGATTAGATGATAAACTTCTGAAAACAGGTTTTCTACATGCTCTTTAGAAACCTAGCAGAGGTCACTTTAAAT